AAACGGAGTTGATTCTCCAAAAGAGTTGAAGAAAATCCCCGTGTACCCTACTAGAAAGGCCCTCCTTGGCCTTGGGGAAGCTGTGCAGAGAGCCTTCGGGAGGGACTGTCCACCTGGGAAGAGCTACAGGGGAGCCACTGAACCCAGAGGGCAGCAGCTAGAAGCAGGAGGATGGGACAGAGCGCAGGAGGACACGCCCTGCCCAGGGAGGCAGCAGCCTGGGGATTCCCACAGCTCATCCAGGACCCTGTGAAACTTGTGTTTCAGGTGTTTCCTGTTATTATTCGTACCACTATTACTAAGGAGGATCGCTGCCAGTATTAACACTTGCATGTGGACTACAGGGCCCCACAGGCCGGCCCTGCTTCTCCTCCCTTGCCACTTGCTGCTTCTTGGGTTCCTTGTTCCTTTGCCCAGATGGTGAGCTGTCTGCCAGTTCGGACCCAAGGCTTTGTGCTTCTTGCTCTGTCCCATTCCCTGTGGACCACCCTGTGTGGTTGGATCTGTCCCTCTAGGCTTGCGCTCTTGTGGAAGATGGAATTATACAGTCTGCCCCCCCAACAATGTATGCACACTTCAGGAAAAGTAGTACAATGTTTTTCCAACAGATGGCCCCACTTTGAGCACCTCCTGTAACTGGAGAGGCCAAAGGTAACTTGTATTAATCATATGATGTCTCAAAAAATTTAGGATTAAAATATATATACAATTTTTTCTTTTTCTGTGTGTATATATTTTTGGCAGGCTCTGTGTATTAGGAATGTGGAGGGTTGGAGATCAGTCATTTACTGAGCTCCTGTTATGTACCAGGCTCTGCCACATAAAATAATCCCATCACTATTCTATTTTGTAGACAAAGAAACTGAAGGGTTCTGCCGCCTCCCTTGCAAGTGCAAGGTCCCGAGTTCAATTCCCCAGTACCAAAAGAAAAAAAAGAAACTGACGTTTAGGGAGTTTATGAAAGAACTATGAATCCAGGTCTGTCTGATTCTAAAACCATGGCTCCCTTTGCAGAAATCAACAAGGATAGTCACACAGGTTTATTATAATTTTTCTTCCTCTTTCCTTTCTCCCCCCCAAAATCCACACAGGACCCACCATCACCTCACTCTGCCTCCATGAAAATGAGCTCAGCCATTTTGCCCCAACCTCTGCTCAATTTCCTGCCTTTGTCAAAGGTCTTCAGTCTCTTCCCTCCTGCTCAATATCCCTTCCTGCTTGTCCTTCTAAAATGCATCCCAGGAGGATGCTGAGGGCAGTGGCCACAGAGGCCCGGCAGAAAGCTGTCCTGTCCACCCCCTTCAGCAGCCCTCGGGCTCTTCCAGATTTCCCAGAGAAACCACTGTGCCCATTCCCACTTCCCTTCAGTGTCCTATCTATGTGAAACGGGACTGAGTGGGATTGGTTTTGTCTCCACACCCCAGATGAAACAATTCCTCTAGCTGGGCTGATGGTTGCAGGGTAGAAACTCCAGAACAGGGTTTGCAAGGGTTCTGCCAAACTGGGGAAACAAGCCAGGAAGAGGCTTCTAGAAAGCTTAGGAGATGGAACTAAAGTTCTGATCCAGTCCCCTGTCTCCACAGCCTAAGCCTACAGGAATTGAGTAGTTTTCTAACTCTAGAAGGACAAGGATTGGATAATTCCCCCAAATCCTCTGCCCCCAGTGAATCAGAAAACAAAACGAACCCTGTGGCACAGTTTGGGCCTAAAGTAATTGATCTATAACAGGCAGCATGCATGATAATAGTTACTCTAAGAGCGCTACATTGATGGTTCATTGAGATTCCCTCTCACCCTTGTGTTTGAGAGTTTGGGGCTTGAGAGAATTTGGTGATAGAGGATAACTTCCTAAAACCTGGCAGGGATAATCAGACAGGTATTTGTATCAGTAAGGACTCAGAAGTGTCTCTAGAAAGATTTCCCACAGCTGGACGCCCCAGTAAGCAAATTCACAGAAATCCTGTGGGTGTCAAGTTAAGTTTCTGATGACTGTCAAGAGTGGCCTTGGTTTCCAAGGAGCTGTAAATTATCTAAGTAATGTGTTCAGTGGCCAGGGGAGCTAGAGCTCAGTCCTGGTAGCGCAGAAGAGAAGTGCAAGATGCAAAAGTGGAAAGAGGAATGGAGACAACTGGCTTTGTGCTATTTGTTTCCCTACAGAAAAACAGACATGAAGACTATCTTGAGATTCCCTGTGTGTGTGTGTGTGTGTGTGTGTGTACATACTAGGGGTTAAACCAGGGCCTTTGTCCTAAGGTATATTCTAAACCTTATTTATTTAAGACAAGGTCTTGCTAAGTTGTCCCAGCTGAGCTTGAACTTGGGATCCTCCTGTCTCAGCCTCCCAAAGTGGACATTTTCACTCTCATGGAAGCACTTGTGCCTAGCTTCTTGTTGCCTGGGGCTATAATTTGGGGGAGGATACCACAATTTCCTTGAGTTGGCAGCTTGGTTCACAGCCCACAGTGCCAGTGGGAGGTGGTGAAACCTTTAAAAAGTGGGTCTAGTGGAAGTTAGGTCACAGAGGATGTGTCCTAGATAGTGATTAGAGCCCCCACCCCCTCTGCATTTTTTTCTGCCTTCTTCAGCAATGTGCTTTCACCATGATGTGCTCAATGGTCATAGGCCCAGGCAACTGAGCCAAGCATCATAGGCTGAAATCTCTGAAACAGTGAGCCAAAATAAACCTTTCCTCTTCTGAAGCCCATTGTCTCAGGTATTTTGTTATAGTGATGCAAAACTGACTAAAACACTTGGTGACCTGGCCCTCCTACATTTTGCAAATCAGCTGTTCAGTGGAGCCATTGCTCCAAAGGGAATTTAATAACAGTACAATTAAATTACAATTAAAACAAAGGTAAAAAGTACTGAACACTGCTCACTTCTTGATTATTTTACTACAGTTCTCTATTATTGAAACTCGCGAGGCCATTTACTTCTGTTGTATCTGAACTGTGGAAATGCTACACAATGGTGTAATACTGAACATTGTTCCACACCAGTAACATGTCCCGGAAACCAGCCACAGCAGGATATTTACATTGCAGAAACGCTGTGAATCGGGGCTTCCTTGCCTGACCATCACTCTCCCACTCCCCAAAGCTGCTCTTCTTAAACATTTATCATCACAGATGCTCTCCTCCAGCAATGAACAAGCGCTCATGTGGGAGAAATGAACAAAAAGACTACTACAACAAACGTACTCCCTCAGCAAAGTCACTGGAGCAGAAACTCCCCGCTCTCTTGTCCTGAGACAGTGAGCACAGAAAGGGCTTTGATCTCCACCTAGGGTTTAGGAACTTCCCTGCCTTCCTGGAGTCACCCTAATAGGAAGCTGTTTCCAGAGTCTCTCTGAAACCTCTCTCGCTGCTTTTTAATGGGCTTTTCTTGAGGGAGGCTCACTGTTCCACTTTCTCAAATGAGGGCTAAGGCTAGTAGCTGGTTCCCTAGTTCCCAGAACAGGAAAGAAACTCTGACCCTCACCACCTTGCAGCAGGCTGAGCTGGAGGCTCCTCCAACCGGTAGTGCCCTCCCGAGGTCAACCCAGTCCATCCCCTTCTTAGGGGAAAAGTGTGTGCCAGGCACAGTGCCCTGCTGAAGAGGTAGCTCTACCTGTAAATAAATCACGTGAGAGGTGCTCATAAATGTGGCCAAATAAATGATAGGTGGCTCTTGACATTCTCTGCTCCCCTCATTTAATTTCTTTCCTTCTACACCCTTCCTCATCCTCTAAGTGCCCCCAGTTCAGCTGTCCCTAGTTCCCTTTGTCTCATCATTATCTCTTATTTTCCCCCCTGGCTCTGTCCAGGCCCACCACCAAGGCCACTACCCCTGTGCAAGCACCCAAGCCAACTCCAGGGCTTCCTAGTTCCATCTGCCAGGTAGGGTTTAAAGGCTTCCTAAACTCAGATGCTCTGAGGCCCATGCATACCTCACTTCATGCCGCCCTAGGGTAGAAGCAGAATTAGGCAGACCAACTTCTCTTCAAGAGAAGAGTCTGGGCTCTCAACAAACAGGTGGCTGGAGAGGGGCAGGTGGAACTAGGCGACCTTGAAGTACCAGGCATTTCTGAAGATCTCTCCCCCTGCAACTGTACAGAAGTCCAGTTGTGTGCCTGTTACAACTGTCCAGTGTTTAGAGAACAAACACTTGACCCTAGATGCAGCTGAACTGGAAATATGTTACTCTGAGCTCCCTAAGAGTAGAACTGGGACCAAGGGATAAAAGCTATGTGAGTTCAATAAAAGAAACTTTCTGTTAAACAATGGCCTGCTTTGGGAAGTGGCAGGCTGAAGAGGTTGGAATATCCTTTGTCCAGAATGCTGTAGAAGGAATTCAAATATCAGAGAAACAGCCTGCTGTCCCGGAGTCAAATCTTCCTAGGCCAGATCCTGAATTATTACCTTTGCTGCTTTGGTGGAGACACCTAATCCTCCTGAGCCTCATTTGTATAAAGGGGATAATGCAGCCTCTCAGGACTAAAGTAAAGGATGAATAAAATATAATATTTAAAAGCACTTGGCATTGCAATACACCCAACCCTTCTCCCATCAAAAGGACGGCTAGGTTACATGGCCTTGTGGTCTCTCTGCCCGACAGAGTATGACTCTGGACCCATTCTTGGCTGCCTCGAAGGAAAGCATGTATCTGGGAGAGAGAAAGAAGTCAGCATTAGGTAGACAGGAAGAGAGAGAAGGATACTGAGAATGGTCAGGGAATCCGAGAGATCACCTCTGGCAGTCCCTTGCTTTCTCTTCTGACATTCTAGAATGAGAAGGAAAAGTGGGGTTCTGGATTGAGTCCACCCGGGGCCTCAGTTTCCCCATGTATACTATGAAGAAGGGTTACATGGCTCCTCCCAGCTCTTCCTGTCCCTGTAAGAAGGGGAGGTGGAGAGAAGGTGCACGTATGGGGCGGGGGAGGGGAAACAACTTCCTCAACTCCAAGCCGGGGAGCCCCACCCAGGCCGAACCCTCCGTGGAACACCAGACAGCCACTGAGGCTCGGGTCTTAAAGCTTTTTTATTGTGCTAATACTGCTGCCCGGAGCTCGGATCTCACACACAGAACAATTCAGTCCAGACCCCCACCCACCTGGCCGGGGGCCTCTCCGCTCTGGCTGGGGACACCCGACCTGCGCCTGGGGCCGCTCTCTCACGTAGACTGCGCTTCTCCTCCCCGCCTCTCGCCCCTGCCCCACGCAACTCCCGAGCCTTGGAGCCTGGGGGTGAGGGAGGGCTCGAGACTGCCTTCCTCCGTCCTTCCCGGCCCCCTCCCACTTTGGGGGAGGAGGCTGTGCTTCCCCGCTCCTTCCCCTAGGGAAATCCCTCAGCCCCTCTTCCTCCCCGAACCCCAGCCGCCAGGCAGCCTGGGGGGAAGAGAGCGAGGTGTGCGCAGGCCGGAGCGTCCCGGTGCGGGCGGAGAGGCCCACGCCCGGTCTCGGCGGGGCCCAGCCCGGCGCGCGCGCTCACACCAAGAGCCCATCTTTGCACTGCTGCAGCCCCTCGGCGCCCTCGGCGGGCGCGGCGGGCGCGGCGGGCGCAGCGCTCTTGACCTGCACGTAGACCGGGGAGGGGCCCGCTTCGCAGGCGGCGGTGCGGGGCGCCAGGGCCACATCCTCGGGGCCGCCGCAGGGCGGGGGCGCGTACTTGCGACGCAGGGAGCGGCTGACGTTCTGCGTCGGATACCCCAGGAGCTGGGTGACGCGGGTGCCGCGCCCGCTGGCTTTGCACCCGGGCGCCAAGGCGTCCTCTCTGTGGAAACAACAGGCGGGCGGGTGAGCGGCTCCTCCGCGGCGCGGCGTGGGCAAGGCCTGGACAGAGCTGGGGGCTCCTAGCAACCTGTCTCCGCGCCTCCCTCGTCTCTCTCCCTCGGCTCGACCTACCCTCCTCTCTGCACTTTCCTGGCCGGCGACCCAGCGGTGCTCCCGGGAGGGGCCACGACCCCTTCCTCCAGACACGGCTTGTCCACGCGTGTCTGGGCCGCGCGGCAGGCAGCCCCATCCCGGCGCCCTGCACCCTTCCTGAGGTTGGGCAGAGTTGCCGCCTCTGCAGGGAGGGAGCCTAGGATGCCGGGGCTGCTTCCCTTGGCTTCTTCCCTTCTCCCTTCACTAACCCTGACTTTGGGCCTTTCGAGCTGTCTTCCTCTCACTTCCTGCCTCTCACAACTCCATCTTTCCCTCTATGCCCAAGGCATTGCAATCATTAGCACTCCTAGTCTTGTTCAGTTTTTATTTCTAGTTTCTAATATAAGTTATTGGCACTATTCTTATAAATAGCATGTCAAAGTTCACCGGCGCGATAGAAGGGAAATGGGGGGCGGGGACACACGACGGCACAGGCCCTGCCCTCCAGGAGCTTACAGTCTAGGAAGACAGACTGAGAAGGATGCGAAGACTGGAGGGGGTGGAGGGCAGGGGAACAGAAGTGAGGACAGAAAAGCCATGCGGCAAGTGGCAGGTTGACATGCTGAGGTCCCAGCACTCCGTGGCGATGGCAGGCAGGTTTGGGGTGAGGGTCCCAGCCGGCCGGTGGCAGCCAGGGGGGGAGGAGGGCAGGGCGCCGGCCCCCTGCCGCGCAGCAGCGAGCAGCATGCATCAGGTTTTACCTGATCTCACTAGCCAAGTCGCTGCCGCAGGCCCCGCCGCCGACCCCGCCGCCGTTGCCGTAGCCGAAGGCACCGCGGGCAACGCCGACCCCGCCGCCGCCCCCGCAGCAGCAGAGGACGAGCCCCCAGATGCCAATGGCCAGGCAGGCTAGCAGGAGCAAAGAGCCCAGCACGGCGCCGATGATCATGCCCACACGCTTGGAGTCTGTGGAGAGAGGTAGAGGCGGGTCAGACTTCTCAGCCCCCGCCAAGTGCCCGATTGACCAGGCGATGCCAAGGCAGGGGCCTGTGGGAAAGAAGGACAGGAACCCAGAGGGTCTCCGGTTCTGGGACACCCAGTGAGGAAGGTGTGGTAGATGCAGATTAACCCTGTGAGCCTGCCCTGCGTGCTTTCCCAGAGCTTCTAGCTGGAAGGCAGCCCAGGTGCCTCTCCGCCAGCCCTCCCAGCCCTCCCAGCCCAGGAGCCCTCAGGACCAGCGCACCTACCTGACACCTTCACCTCCACAACGCACACACTGTAGCCTACGTGATTGGCCACTGTACACTGATACAGCCCATTATCTGCGCTAGAGATGTCCTGCAACACCAGGTCCCCATTGCTCAGGCCTGCAATTGGAAGAGCATCAGACCCGTATAATTAGAGAGAGCCTTGGTCTCTGAGGCCCCCCATCTCAGTCTCAGCCCCTGTGGGGCAAGGGATGGGGCACCCACAGGTTCACCTCACCCTCAGCTGAGTACTCACCCCCCAGACCAGCAGCAGGGAAGGACCCCTCTCCCAGAAATAAGTCAGAAACACCATGAATTCTCTCTGTGACCTTAGGGAAATACGTGCCCTCTGAGCCTCCTTATTGGTACAGCAGAACAAGGGTAGGCCAGAGGAACTCTGAGGTCCCTTCCAGCTCTGTTAGTCTCTGTGGATATTACTTAGCTTCCTTCTGTGCTAGAAGCATCACACATCTTATTCTGTTTAGTCCCCACATGTCCCTGAGAGGTAGATGTTGGGATTCCCTCCTCGCTGTAAAGAAATCCAGGCACAGAGAGGGTAAGCCATGGGCTGAGGCTTGTAGCTAGCTAATCAGTGTCCCAGCCGGGACCAAGCCCAGCTCCATCTCAAACCGAGCTCCTTCCAGATTACCACACTGCTTTTGGCTGACTCCCCCGTTCTGCCTTCTCTTCTTTCCTCAACAGCAGCTGCTGGGACAGGCCCAGAGGAGGAGCCCACCGCAGGGTTTCCAGGTTGGGGTTAGTGCCACTGATAAGCCAGGGAAGCCCCAGCAAGTCCCAGAGTCCTCTGCACACTGCCCCCACCAGGCCCCTCACCTTGATTTATGGAGCTGTGGAAGGACTCCTGGTAGGAGAGCTCAGAGTGGAAGCTGTGCTGGGAGTGGTAGGACCCTGCTCGGTAGGGGTGGATATGCCCGCTGATCTTGGCCCACTTGTAGGAGAGCGGCTGGGAACCCCCATTGGCGAAGCATTTCAGCACCACATCGTTGCCCTTTGTCATGTGGCCTTCACTCCAGCACATGGGTACTGCAGGGCGTGCTACAGGGAGGCAGGTGATTGTGAGCCAGGACCCACTCGAGAGGGCAGAGGCAGTCTCACAGTGTCTAAGCTGCCCTTGCCCCCAAAGCTTGGGGAAAGAGAGGCTAGAGAGTTTGGTCATACCTTGGACAGTAACAATGACCTTCCGGGTGGCCATGGTGGTCTTCTTCACCCGGCACTCATAGGTGGCTGTGTCAGATACTTGCAGGTTCATGAGGTTGATGGAGGCGTCATATTGGCTGGGATCTGCAGCTGCAAAGCGGACCCTCTGCTGCAAATGGGGGAGGTTGCCATGGTTGATCCTCTTGTCCTGGTAACTAAGGAACTGTGAAGAAGAGTGGAAAAGAGGTGGTGAGAAAGGTGGAACCAAGGAGGGCCCTGTGGCCTGGCTCCTTTGGGCCATTCACTTAACTTCTCTGAAACACTGGCTTTGTTTTGTTTTGGAGTTTTTTTAAATGGTAATGATGATGCCTGACCCAGTGATCTCTTGCAGAATGGTGAAATCAGATGAGCTGAAGCACGTTGGAAAGTATCAGGTCAGGCTGGGAACTTGAGGGCAGGAGCCATATCTGGTCTTCCCTTTGGAATGAGGTAGGAGGAAGTAGGCTGAAAGGCTGGCTAGATTCCCAGTTGCACAGCTCTCATCCCTAATATCCCATTTCCCTGAGAGGCATTGGGGAAACTTCAAGGTCTTGGTTTTGCAGCTTGTCCTCCTTTTCCTCTCAGGATGTTGGCTGCCCAGTGAAGTACAGAGTAAAGAGAACCTGGTGCCCAGCACTCACCACATTCTCTCTATGTGAGGGGTCCGAGTTGACCTGCATCCACTCAATGTCCAGCCCATTGGGACCATAGTCCTCAGGGTCCAAGATGTAGGGGCAGCCCAGCCTTACATTATCACCTTCTGCGAGGTACAGGACTTCCTGGCCATCCCCGTTGATCCTTACAGCAGACAGCAGTGCTGGGGAAGGCAAAGCAGGTGAGGGGAGGGGAGCAGGCCAGAGGTTCTGTACTCAGCTTCAGTCTCTCCTCCCACCATTCTCTCTCAATTGTCACCCAGGGCTCAGTGGGGCTTCTGTAGGGAGGAGGAGCACAGAGGATGTGTGTGTGGTGTGAATAGGTATGAGCATATCTGTGCATACTTGTGTTGCTTACTTATTCATGTGACAGTGTTAGATTCATGTATATATTCTGTGAGTGTGTGGGTATGCATCCGAATATTGTTTGTATGCACAGAGCTGTTACGTTTGCGTGTATGTATACATGATTCGGTGTCTACATAAAATACATACCCATATATACATTGTATGCTTATGAGCATTTGTAGCTCCACGGATAGTCATGCATATGACCGTGAGGGATATCTGTATGTGTGTATATATATATATATAGCAGTGAGAGTGCTCTATTATGTGTCTGTATTTGTGTTTGTGTGTAGGTATGTGGAATACCCAGAGTATTATGTGCTCTGATGGAAGAGGCTGGCTGGTTAAAAGCCACCTGTCTGGGCTGTGTGTGAGCCCTGTCTGGGCCAAGTGAGGTGCTCGTGGCCAGAAGCAGGATAGATACGACTTCTGGGGTCTGGTCCCAGCCTGAGAAGCAAGAGACTGGATGTGTCTGTCCATGTGTACCTGGGTATGACTGCATGTGTCTGTGGCTGTGGACCTCTGGGTGGTGTGCGACAGTGTGTGCCTGGCTGTGTGGGCACTCTAAGTGACAGTGTGCCCTTGCATGACAATGGGCAGCTGTGACCTGGAGCTGGCTGTGCTCTCTCGAGATAGTGAGTGATGATGTGTGCCCGGGGCCGAGGAGGCGTGCATTGGCAGGAAAGCCTGGCATGGTGATGTGTGGTGTTGCAGACTGTGTCCTTCCCCTTGTGGCTCAGGTACAGCTGCCCCCACATCGGGCCCCCTCCTGCCACTGAGTCAGAGGCAAGCAGCCAGGGTTAGGAGCCAGGATCTAGAAGCTCAGAATTGAGCTCCTCTCCCTCCCTATCCCAAAGCCTCAGGCAAGTACTAGCCCAAACCGGTTAGACCTAGAGAGGGATAAGGGGGGAGGATGTGCGCAGGGACCCACCCTGAGGACTCAGCACCCTGCCTGCCTGAGGGTCTCCGGCAATGCCCCCTGCTTAGGCCCCTCGCCCAGCTGGCTAGCTTTCCATGACAATGGCCTTTGGAGTCCCAGCCCCAAGTCTTAGCGATTGATCGATCGTACTGTTTCTTATTTCTCTGGCTCAGGATCACTACAAGAGCATCTCACACACAGTTTCAATATCACAGGCAAGACACATCAACCCATAGACATACTCTTTCAAGCCTTCAAAATGCAGATATATTCCTGTGCAGTCCCCTTCCTTACACACACACTGTCAGGTCTGTACCAACACAGCACACATTTGCAGGCAAACATAATGTGAGTTAATCCAGAGACACACCCACTGCACACTCTTATAGTTTCGCGTGCATTCATTCAAGACCAGACACATCTACAGAAGCCCTACCTGCCAGGGGTAGTCTGGCTCCAGAGAGGCAAACAAGGGCCTTTCCAGCTCCTGAACTTGCCCTTTGGAACCCTGGCTGGGCCATCAGCAGTGCCCTAACCGGGCTAGACTGCAGAGACCAGAGCAGGCAGGCTGCTGCTGGCTGCTGGCTGCTGGGGCTCTAACGGAACCTGGTGAAACCTCCTCCAGCCCCAGGCCAAGAGAACACCAGCTCATTCCTGAGATAAAGATCCTGATGCTATCCGCCAGATCCTGGGGCGGTACATGGGAGGCCGAGGATGAGCCAGAACTCAGGTGAGAGGGAGCAGAGGCCCGGCCCTGGGCAGAGCCACTGCACGCAGCCAGCAGAGGGGAGGATTCTTTCCACACACCAGGAGGCCAGGCAGGCAGGAGGGTAAGTATTCAGGGAAAGGGGCTTGAGCAGGAGGGACTGGCTGTGCCTCCACCCTGGACTGAATGCCTTTCTTCAATTGTCCCGGCCTCGCCCCATCTCATTCTCCTTAGTAGCGTTCTCAGCCTCCTCCCAAGGATTCCAGCCTTTTTCACCTCCTCCCCCACTTTAGGAAGTTGTTTCCTCTCTTGTCACCATGCTTCCTTTTGCCATGACACTGAGGAGGTGCTTTCTGGAACCAGAGGACATAAGGGAAGAGGGAGGCTGGAGAAAGGAATAAAGCCACCGTGGAAGAGAGAGCTAGGTGCTGAGAATAGGGGAGTCACATGGCGCTCTCCAAGGACGACAGTGGCCATTGTCTCCCCAGAAAACCACCAGGCACTGGCCATTGTCTGGAGGTGTCCTCTCAATAATAGTAGCTACTTTCAACTGTCAGTTCCTTTTGAATTTTCAAGCAGCTGCCAGACAAAGAGGTCAGAGAGGGGAAGGGAAGACAGGAGAGAAAAAGCCGTGCAGCTTGGTTTGCGCACACAACCAGAGACACGCAGAGAGATGTCTCAACTCCCTAGAGCATAACCAGGTGCCCTGGGTGGGCTCTGCCAGCCCGACTCTCACATGACATAGAGTATTGCAGGCATCCTGCCAGAAATGCCATCAGTCACACACACACACACACACACACACACACACACACACACCCCGAGGCTGACAAGACCCCTTCCTACTCTCCTTTCTCACACCCCTTCAACCCAAATCCAGACTCCAGGGGCAGCATAGAACCATTTCAGTGATACACAACAGAGTCACTGGCTGGGACTTGCCAGACCTGGGCAGGGCGACACAGTATCCCAACCTGAGTCCTGCCCTCCAGGAGTACCCCAGAGCGGTGAGGAGGCAGCGCTGGGAGTCAGCTTCAGTCCCCTTCCTCTTCCGGCCTTGTGCTGGAGGGGCCCAAGCCTGGAGCTCTCACAGCATGGGGGACTCTCAGTGGAGGTCTCAGGCCTGAGCTGTCGCCTTTCATGGTGGAAATGGCCCACCAAGACTCAGCCTCTCAAGAGGAACAACTGCTCTGCTCCTGCCTGGCCCTCTGGCCTAGGAAAGCAGCCCCTCCCACTCTGAATGGCAATCAGACTGCCTTGATGGAAACTGATCCTTCCCAGGCTCCTCCTCAGCCCCCTCCCAGAACTGCTGCTCACCTGACTCCTACCCCACCTACAGCTCCCACAGGTAGCTCTGAGCAAGCCCTGCCCCCCAAGTCCCAGCATGGGCACAGCACACGGGGCACCTGCACACATCAGGCACCAGGAAGATCCACGCTGAGACTGCACGCAGACGATGGCCCGAAGCTCCAGCCACAGGCTGGCCTGGGCGGAGGCCCCTTTGGCAGCATCCAAACCAGGGCGGAGGTGGGGTGAGGGTGGGCAGGCACACGGCGAGCCCTGGCTGCCCCTTTCCCTGCCCACTGCCCGGCCCCATACCTGGGCTCAGGCACACGAGCAGAAGACGGAATGTTCCTCGGACTCCCATGTCTCTGGGCTCGGTGTCGCCTCCGTCTGGGCTGGGCTCCTGTGGGCTGGTGGTGGTGGTGGTGGTGGTGGGTGGAAGGGGCAGGTGGAGGGAGGGGGAGCTGAGGCCCCAGACACTGCCCGGGGTGGCAGGAAGGTGCAGTGAGTGCCCAGCCGGGGAGCAGCCGGAGTTATTTCTATGGGAGGGAGGGGGCCTGGTCCCCGCCTTGGGGAGGAGCCCCAGTAGCCCTAATTATTGGGGTGACAGGATGGCCTACCCAGGCATTACCCAGCCCTCACCCAAGCTCTGCCCTGTCCTGAGAGTAGTGCAGGGTGGCCGGGAGGACTTGTAATTAGGCACCTGTTAAACATCTACTTCCTCCTGGCCACGTCCTCAGGTGACAACAGTCGCCCCATTTTACAGCGTCCACAGAGCTCCCCTCACCACTCATTTGCTGTCTCCTTCCCTGGGGGAAGTGGGGAAAAGCAAGGAAAACCCAGGCTTGGGGAGGAAGGGTGACCAGACTTGGAAGAGTTAACACTGGGCCAGGATCCAGGGCTTGATACACCCTCCCAGTGCAGGCCTAAGTCCAGGCTCTGAGCATTCCTGACCCTCCAGGGGGATCCCTCCGGGTGGAAGCCTGAGAGGAAGCACACCGGGGAGGTGGCCCTTCCTGCCATGCTGGCATCTGGGCTGGAGGGAAGGTCCAGCAGATGAAAGGGATCCAGGAATGCTCAGCCTGCCTTCCCCTCCAGGCCTCTGGCCCTTCAAAGGGAGCAGGACCTCAGAGCTGAGAGGAGGAGGGAAGGAGTATATGCAAGAACAAGGTCTCCCATCCAACTGTGCTTCCACCCAGGCCAGGTGTAGGCAGCCTCAAGAGCCAGAGGTGTTAAGAGGGACCCAGGCCCCTAACCCCCCCACACACACAGAGCTGGAACAGTTTGCTGAGGCCTGAGAGAAGAGGGACCAGGGTGTGCGGAGGCCATGAGGGGAGTGGATGTCCAGGAGGGCTACATGCGCGTGTGCCTGAGTGAGCTGTACGGGTGGGAAGGAGGTGGGGTGCCTCTGTGTGAAGAGTCTGTGTGCTTCCTTGAGGGGTTTCTTGGTATCCCAGCTTCTGTGCCCAGGAGAAGCACCCAGGGCTTGAAGGGTTAATGCAGACCCTCATAACCTGAGCTGATTGATCATCTGGGTGACTAAGGTCTTCGGGTGAGGAAGCCAGCACAGTTCTGGGCAGGCTAGAGCTGGGCCGGGTAGAGGGTCCCAGGCAGCAGAAGGAGAAAGTAGAAGGCAGCCCTTGTTTGCCCCAGGGGTACAGAACAGACCTGGGCCTCCCCTGGACTCCAGGACTGCCCACAGAGGTAGATGGGGGGGCCTCCTTCACCTGCTTGACTCTCTCAAAGGAGTCAAGGGGCCTCCCCCAACCCCTGACATGGGGCTCATGAAGGGCAGAGGGGGAAGGGTCATAGGGAGAGTTATGGGGCTGGGGGATGCTGCCAGGACTCTGAGAAAAATAAGACAGAAGAGGGGCCAGGGATTTAATTCAGTGGTGCTGCACCTGCCTTGCAAAGCCCAAGGACCTGAGTTCAATCCCCGGTACTGGAAAAAATAAGACAGAAGAATAAGGAAGTTCTAGGAGTCCATGTGTTTCTTTCTGTGTTCCAAACCCCTCTCCCAGAACTCCAACAACAGGGTGCCTTGGGGCCCACGAGATGTACACAGTGAATAGCCTTATTTCCTTATTTATTTTAAGGTTAATGAGATTGTCTTTCTCCCTCTGGAGAACAAGGATCATTATCCCTATTTTACAGATGGGCAAATAGAGGCCTGGAGAAATAAAGGGATTTGATTCAGTTGGTGATGCTGGGGCCTAAGAAGAGGATAGCCAACCATTCTGACTCAGCCTAGAGGGGTCCCAAAAAAGGGCTTGGTGGCCCTATGGGTAACTAGACCCACTCATGAGAAGGAAACGTGGTGGGCCGGTGGTGGGTAGAAGGGAAAACTAGTGGGACTAAGCAGAGAGAAATGGAAAGGAAAGGATTACAGCCATGGTCCCATTAAAATGAAGAGCAGGGTAAGGGTTTGAGTTCTGGACTTAGGCTAATGTCAGAGTTAGGTTGAAGCCCGGATCTGGGGTTAAGTTTAGTTGAAATTATGAATAAGGTTAAGGTCAGATTTGAGGTTGGTATTAGAGTTAGGTTGACATTAGGGTTAGAATTACAGCTACAACTGAGGCTAAGGTTTATGCCTGGGATTGCTATTATGATAAAGAATAGGATTTTTGTTTCATTTCAGGTAGGCTTAGGAATACAGCTAGGGCTAAATCAAAGGCTGGGTTGAGATTGATTTAGGATTAGTTATAACTGGGTTACAATTGAGTTTGAGACTTGAGTTAAAATACTCTGTGGTAAGGTTAAAACAAGGATTAAAGATATATGAGCAGGAGGGATTTATGACAACAAAAAATGAGATTTTATTTTTGACACAGAAAAACATCAGCTTCCACCTGCTAAAACTCCAGGTTTGGGTAGAATATTCAACCCTTAGCTCTGAGAGAATACCTGTGTACATATTGGTTAGGATCCCAAGATTTGGGTGGATCCAAATGTGCATGAGTCCATCTGAGGTGTATAAAGCAACTTAATGTTGTAACAAATATCACTTCTGAAGCCCTGCTCTGCCACCAAAGCTCACAGCCTGGTCAAGCTCCCAGAGAGTCATTTATGGAAGGGACACAGGAACTGTTGGCAATTAGGGGGACTCTGACACCAAACTAAACCAGAAGACAGGGCCCAGCAGAGAGTCTTACTGAGGAAAGCATCTGGTTGTGGAATCCAGGAAATGGGAGTTGAAAAAGAATGAGAACTTAGGTCCTTCTAGAAGAACAGCCATTTTTGAGGGGACTACACAGTGGTTCTCAGAACCTGAAAAGGCAAGAATAGCCCTTGACCTACTGAGGGCTAATTGTCACCTCATTAGTTGGAGCCTATGAAAAAACCTGTTGGGCCTTCCTACCCTGCACCTTGGGCCTTGCAGGGTTTTGGCAGGCTGGTGATGGGAGGAAGGGGCTAGACATAGGTCCAGCCCATAGCTCATGTCTGTCTCTGGGCCTCGAACTCAGCAGAGGAAGAGGGCCCCAATCCTGAGTGGCACCCTACTCCAACTCCTCCCTCTCCTCTTTCCCCATTAATTTTCCACCCCAAACATCCCATTTCCCTGCCCACTTACTTTTCAGATTCTATAAATGTCTAGACAGATCTCAGAGACTCACACTTCCCTGGGAGGACACTGAGACCATTGGAAATACACATGGTATGCGAATATCCCATCCAGAGGTTCAAAGATGGACTGAGAAGGCAGAGGATCCAAGCTGTGGTGGATTGACTAATGGGCAACTTGTATCACCCAGCTGAACTGAATCAGCATGGTCTGGGCATGGAGGATCCACCTGAAGACTGTTACCAATGGCCATAAAAAGAACTGTAGGGAAAGATCCTGGCCTCTTGATTTGCTAGGAGAAGCTTGCTGCAGAAGGTTTTCCTGATGCAAACTAGGCTGTTCTCATCAGAGGAGGAGCTTGGGGCCTCGCTGTCTCTGGGAATGGCTGCTGTTTTCCTCAGAGGAGCTCTGATATTCACAGTGAGCATCACTTCCTGCCTCCAGTGTGGATCCCTCAGCTTGGTGGCAGAAATCCTTCATCTCACCAGCATAGATTTTCTGGCTTCCACCACTGGCCTTTGGGCCTTCCGGGTGCAGGTCCTCTGTATGCACAGCCATGGGACATTGCCGTGGACTCTAGGCCACTGGCTGGACTTGTGTGGGAAACCGCTGGGATCTAGGCCCTTGGTTGAGTCCTTTGGGCTTCTGGTGTGTGGTTGATCTCTTGCATTCCTTTGCATTTGGATCTTTGGGTGATTATTGTAAAGTAACCTTATAAGTTATGTGTCCTGTGTTTAATGTATTCCCTTGCTGAATCCTACCAACTACAACACAAGCTGTGATCTGGAACCTAATGCACAAATTTTAAAAGGGGTCCTTTCTCTTTTTCCCTGAGGAATCCACAGCATAACAGCACCTCTTGTGCATTTTCCCCTGCCCCCCTTTGAGTTGCATTTGCTTGTAAGACAGAAACAGAACATCAAAGGGAGAGGCCCAGATAGGAGTGAACAGAGACTGAGAAGAGGGAGGAGGAGGCAGAACAAGGGACCAGAGAAGCCCAGAGAAAGCCTCCCAGATGAAGTGAGTCCCACTGTAGAGCCAAAGCCTCAGTCCTTCCCCCAACCTCTTCCTCCAAAACCCCTTTTGCAGCAGCTCCACAAATCTATAAGCCCTGTCCTCCTCTGCCTGTATCCCTAACCAATGTCCCTTCCAGGGGTGCCTAGGTTCAAGCTCAATCTCCCCATCTCCCCAGCCGTGGCCCAGATCTGCACGCCCTCCCCAGGAGGCCCATCTGCCCCCTCTCTCGCTTGTCCCCATGTAGCCCCCATCCCCATTATTGCCATACCACCTGGGGAAGAGTTGCTTGCAGGGGAGACCTCTACTCAACTGGTCCTGGAGTAGCAGCTATGAACCAACACAGACAGGCACAAAAGTCACAGAGCTGCCAAGGGACTGCAGCAGCTGCTGTCTTCCCAACAATCCTCCAGCAAAGATTTAGGGTGGAAGACTGCCCAGGGAGTCCATGGCTGGACAAGAAGGTAGGGGGCTCAGAAATAGTACTGGTGGCTTCATGGGAACACATTGAGCTCTGACAAGAAAGGGCTGGAGTTCATTACATAGAGAGGAACAGGATCTGTATGTGGGATTATGTTTGAGAATGTCAATTTCAATTGCGGACTGAGACTCAAATTAGGGTTTCCAGGCAAGAGCTTCAGACTTCCCAAGCATCAGTGATTTCCACTCGTCCACTTCAAAAGAAGGGAGCCCCAAAGTGGGAGCCTAAATACACCCAAATCTCTCCCATCAAGTAATGTCCTAGAGCTGAACCAGTCTTATAAAAGTGAACAGCACATAGTCCCCACCACTAAAGGAGTGGCCCATCCACTACTGTATCTACTAAAGCACAGTGGCAAAGGGCAGTTGAGTGACTGTCATTGAGAGAATGATCAGAGGTGAGAAGAAATCCCTTGTAAAGAGTGTGTGAAGTCCAGATGACAAACCAAAGGAAGAATTGAGAGATCTTGAAGATAAAACTATCTTCACTTCCTAAAGATCAGCCACATTCTGCAAAACCTTCATCTCTTCTGAATTTGGCTGACTTTTGCACTAGGCTCTGGAGAAATGGCCATGGAGGAGATAGTTTCTCTTCTTCCAGAGTGCCCAATCTAATGTGGGACACAGACAAGGAAGGAACATCTTAGCCTACATTGTGTTAAGCTGTGCTAATATGCACATATGTGTGACCTAGAGTTCGGTATGCCTTTTTGTCTTCACGTTTCTGCTGTCCATGATACGTTGCTTACCTTTCTTACTTTTTTAGCTATTGGTAACCTGGTCTTCTGCTTAAATAGATGCCTATCCCGGTTTACTCCTTTTGTGCTCAAAGCTTCATCTGCACTTTTCCCCTAGATGGTCTTTTATCTCTGGGTGTCATTAGCAAGCTGCTTTCTCAGTGCCTTGTTTCATCCCAGCCCACTGTTTTGCTATGATTTGTAGCCATTTTGGTTTATCACATGGGTCAGCCATGTTGGTTTGTCATATGATTCTGCCATTTTGGTTCATCCCGTGGGTCAGCCACATGGATTCAGCCATGTTTGTCAACTAGTTTAGTTGGTCACATGAGTCAGTCACATGATTCCACCATGCTTATTTGCTCTTTTTTTCATTTAACTGCCCTCATGGTCACCAGAAAACCTTACCATTGTGGGTAGGAGCTAAGCCTCTGATTTTAGGGAACATGTGTGCCTTCTTCTTTTTCTCTTTTTAATTGGGTTAGATCCTCTCCTTGTTTCTTCTAACAGAAATTTGGTAATTTGGAGACCTATGCCTGATGGCCTGAGCAGAACAAAAGAACAACCAGTAAAGCTCAACTCTAGAGGTTATGACAAGTAGAGCCATTCTAGTTCTTAAAATCTTTTAATTTTTTTTAATTATCAGGATAAATGTAAGAGGTACTATTTCTCAAGTGGCTCTGATATCTTAAGAATATATTATTTCTATGCAAAGTAGAGCCAGCCATCAAGTAGCTCCATCCTGATCTCTTAAGAGTGTACTGTTTCTTAAGTGGCTAAGGGAGTCCCTGGGGTGGGCCTCCGATCTGATCTCATGGAGTTTCTAAGGGACACAAGATGTTAAAGAGCTCACCCTTCTCCCTAAGGAGTTAGTGGGCCACAGTATGGAGAGTTCTAAGGCTAAAAGAGCCCTCAGTGTGGCTCTGTTCTTCTAGGAAAGATACCGGTGTCACCCCAGCTTTGAACAGAGATATCTGCTAAGTAAGTACTTGAGTCTCACAAGGATGCTTTGTAGGCTCAGTGGGTCCCCTCTTTCTGCATAGGATGCCATCAGAAGGATCCAAGACCTAGCGCTCTCCTCCCCCAAGATGAGCCACGGGAAACACCATGAACAGCACCCCACATATTTCACCTACCTCATTGCTAGGCTGCATCCTTGATCAGTGGGAACAGTTTGACCCTGCCAATTTGAAAATGGAATGACTTATCTATTATTACAGTATAGTTTGGATCTGGTATAAAATAGGCAAGGCTGAGAGATGGGTACAGGATACGGTTTAAATTATGACACTATTTCTCAGTTAAATCATTTCTGCATAAAGCATAGAAGGTAGAGTAAACTCCCTTATGTTCAGGCTTTTATGACCCTTTAACTCAGGGAAAACCAAGAAACTGTGATAGCGTGACCCCTGAGGAAGAGACGGATATCTTTGATGATCCTGTCCTCAGATCCTCACCTGTCTCTCAGGGGGAAATGGGTCTCTCCCACCTCTTTGATGACAACAACCACCCGGGGAGGCCTTCTCAACCCCCTCCTTATATCCCCAGGCCTGTAAAGCCGTCCTATCCTCTTCCAGTGACTCAGGAACTCCACCAGAGCCTAGAGCCCTAGAGGAACCCAGTATTCCTCAGCCCCCTCATCATGCTTCTCAGACAACTTTAAGTCCTGCAGAATGTGCTCAGAGTGCTGCTTCTTATTCCTCTGACTCACAACTTGTTCTGCCCCAAGAGAGGTCCCAGGAGCAGAGGGGACTATTCAAGTCCAGGTCGCTTTTTCAGTTGCAGATATCCAACAAAGCAAAGAAGAGTTAGGCCAACTTTCAGAGGATCCTAGTAAGTTTGTAGGTGGGTTTCAAACTTTGGCCCTCACTTTTAACCTATCATGGCAAGATGTCTAATTCATCCTGACCACTTGCAAGACCTCAGATGAAAGAGAAGGAATCCTACAAGAGGCTAAGAATCATGCAAATGAACAATATGCTTTTAAGAAAGAAAAAGAAACCACACTGGAGAGGCTGTTATCCCTTCAACAGAACCACACTGGGACTATCATACTAGTGATGGACTAAAAATAATGTCTAACATGATGGCTGCTTTTATCATGGGAGTGAAAAGGTGCATTAAGAAATCTGTTAATTATGATAAGGTGAGCAGGGTCATATAGGGCAAAGAAGAAAATCCAGCTGTCTTCCATTAGTAGAAGTCTTTTGTAAATGTACAAACATAGATCCATCTTCCAGGGAGGGATAGGTACTGGTAGTTCATCATGTCTTTTGTCAATCAGCCCCAGACATTTGGCATAGATTACAAAAACTCCAGATGGGTCCACAGATACCTATGAGCTAATTGCTGGACATGGGCTTTTCTGTGCTCAACACTTGGGATCCAGATGAGGGTGAAAGAGAAGGGCTAAAATTATAGCTGTAGCAGCTGGCAATGCTTTAAATATAGCCAAGTTGAGAAAACCCAAGGACAACTGAGGAAAGAGTTCCTGTTTTAAATATAATAAGAAATGCAAGATGACTAGACACTGGCACACAACTGCACCAAGCTTTCGCCCAGGCCCTGCTCCAAGTATCAGCCAGCCAATGTGCCTGACTCATAGCACTGGACTGTTGACTGTGCCTACTCCCAGAGAGGGGCTAGGCCAGCCAAAATCCTCATCTTCTACTCTGATGAAGACTGAAGGGGCCTGGGACAACCTGCAATGCCCCTGTCCACGGACATCACCATCTCCTGTGAGGAACACAGGGTGACCCCGAATGTCATGTGTGAGCCAACTTAATTACTTGTAGATACAAGGGCAGCTCACTTTGTTTCACTTCCTTCTCTGGAAAACCCTCCTGTAGATCTATGGCCATAATTGGGGTTGAGGGAACAACCTAGACAGAGCTTCTTTATTCCTGCTCTGACATATCACTTTGAAGGCCAAATACTTAACCATGAGTTTTTAATTGTCCCATGGTGTCCTACTCCCTTGCTAAGAAGAGATTTACTAGTGAAACTGGGGGCAACTCTCAAATTCCAGCAAAGGTCAAGGTGGATTTTACCTGTTGGGACAATGCCAGGTCTCTCTGACTGACCCTGCTGCATGGTATAATGGAATACCTGTTAGGAAAAACTCAGCTATTGCAGTAGTTATAAAACTAAAAGACCTTCTTGTGATGAAAACAGTCCAGTTCTGCTGCTGAAGAGAGAGAGATGAAAGCTTTTAATGCTGAGGAAGGCTGTCATTGAGGTGTTCGGGCTTCGAGAAGATTCTGATGGTCTGAGCTAATCATCTGTATTCTCTTTACTCAGACTCCTGAGGAGGAAGAGATTTTAAACAAAAAACGATCAAAGAAAATTCAAAAGAAGCATGATGAAAGGAAAAAGAATGCCAAAATCAGCAGTCTTCTGGAGGAGCAGCTCCAGCAGAGCAAGTTTCTCGCCTGCATTGAATCAAGACCGGGCGAGTGCGGCAGAGCAGATGGCTATGTGTGAGAGGGCAAGAAGCTGTTCTATCTGAGGAAAATCAAGGCCTGGAAGGGCAAATAAGTCCTCTCTCCTGACGTAGCACATGTAAATAAGGTGTTTATTGTTCTAAAAAAAACAAAAAAACTGAAAGACCTCAGTCAATTTCCCTAACAAAAGCAGTGTCCAATCAAAGAAGAAGCCCATAAAGGCCTCCAGCCTCTCATAGACAGGTTTTTCAAACATAGCCTTCTGTGCCCTTGCCAGTCCCCTTGCAATACTCCCCCTCTCCCATAGGAGAACATAGAATGGTACAAGATCTCTGCCTAATTAACAAGGCTGTAATCCCAGGCAACCCTCTGGCAGCAGATCCATATACAATTTTCTCCCAAATTCCAGGAGACACAAGTTGGTTCTCAGGCTTAGACCTCCAAGATATTTTTTTCTTTTCCTCTCCATCCAGATTCCCCATTTTGGTTTGCCTTTGAATGGGAAAATCCCATTTCAAAGGAAAAACAGCAGTATATTTGGATGGTTCCCCAACAGGCACTAGAAAAAGACTTAAGGAACCTAGAGCTTAAACAAGGAAGCATTCTATAATATAAAGCCAGCCCCACTTGAACTGTCTGAAGAAAAAGACCACCCAAAAGAAAAAAGCTACTCCTGTAATCCTCCAAAAGACCTCTTCAAAGAACAAAACTCCAGTATTGCTCTTGGTACAGATAAGTAAATTGGCACCTGTACTGAGACTCCTGTTTTCTAATTGGATTCATAATGTTGGTAATTTTGCTAAAACTACAGCTCTAGGGCCCTCCATAATTTATCTAACGTCCCCTTTTGCCGTAGTTTCTCCTCCATGGACAATGTGGAAATCTGACCTACTTCTTCTCATATTTGGCCTCTACATCCCCTACCTAGTAGTTACTCTCCTGACAAATTCACAAAGCTTTCTCCCACCAAACAGGTGGTTCCTATAAACACTGTTTTCACACTGTCTTCTGACAGGTTTTTTTTCTTTAATCCAGCCAGTGAGCCCCGACACCCCAAGGTAGTTGGAAAGCACATAATCCCCAGCAGGTAGGACCTATACCCTCTTTCAGCAGGAAGTAGCTATATGAAGACAGAGACCTCACTCTCACAGTACCCCATTACTCTTTACGGGGATGTGTGTGTCTCAGGGAGAAATGAGGCAGGAGAATAGGGCATGGTATACTGGCTGGGGAAGTAGGTGTGACCTGTTAATTACAAAACCCCAGGACACATACACAGAACAGTTCCCAAAGCCCTGCATGTGGGCTTCTCTAGAGGTTTTCAATAGGATGGCCTAAACCTGACACCAGCCAGTAAGGAGGCGGGAATAGAAAAGGACAGTCAACACTGAGATTTGGGCTACCATGTTCTCACTGCAACCTGCTCTCGTCCTGTATAGTGTACTTATTTTTCCACTTTTACTTGGCCCAAGCTCACTCCGCAGAGCCTGTTTATTTTCCTACCTTAGATTTATGTAAAACCTTGCTACTGTTTGCACTTCTCTTGACCAGTTCTTTGCTCAGGACAGAAAGAACCTAGAAACCACCTCTAGAAAGAGACTGCAGCATCCCAAAACCCAATAACAAGAGAAGTTCAGTGCTCGGGAGGTAAGTGAAGAGGGAGAGGAAAACAGCCAGGAGTAACAGTTGATGATTATTTGGGGACAGAAGAGGGAGATCCTTGAGAACTGAACATCTGGGGACCTTCTACCCAAACCCCTAGAGTACCTCACTCAGATAAGAGCCAAGCCCTTAGGAGGGATTGGACAACCAAGACTGATTGGCTGGACCGTGTGTGTGTGTGTGCGTGTGTGTGTGTGTGTGCGTGTGTGTGTGTGTGTGTGTGTGTGTGTGTGTGTGTGTGTAGAGAGAGAGGGGGAGAGACTGATGAATTAACTCAAGGTCCAATGGGACTTTGGCTTTTGAATTTGTTGAAATAAAATTCACCTTTGCTTGGCTACACAGATTCTCTGGACACATATTTTCGGGGGAAACCTGTGGCCCATCCTGGTCTTCAAGGCTGGCCCCAAGCCTGCCTCCCAATTGCTCCAAAAGGTGTGTGGGAGCTAGCAGGCAACAGAAGGGAGCTGGGTGTGTGTCTGGTTCCCACTAGCCAGACCTGACCTGACCAGACCTCAGCTGCCAGCCCTGTTTGTTTCCTGTTGCCTAGATACCAGGCTGAGGGACTGAATGAGAGGAAGATGGCACCACGGAGGGTGGGGCTTGCAGGGAACTCAGCTCTTCCAGGGATGACTGGGGAGGGAAGTGTTCACAGGCAGGAGAGCAGGAGGCTCAGCCCAAGGGATAAAGTGGAAGGATCCCCACCTCCCTCAGTTTCCTCCCTGTAATACCCTTTTCCCTAAAATGCTCAGGAAAACCCTATGTTTCCAGAACTACAGGCCTGTCCCCACATGGGGTAAGGCTGCACAGTAGCTGGGAAGGAAGATATCTGAAGGGGTTTCAGTCATGTCAAAATAGCCTAAACCTGGTGTGGTGATGCACAACTATAATCCCAGCTACTCAGGAAGCTGAGGCAGAAGGATTCCAAATTCAAGCCAAGCCTGGGTAATTTAGTGAGATTTTTGTCCCCCCCCCCAATTTTTTTTTAATTTTTAAAAGGCTCAGTAGTACCATGTTCTTCAGTTTAATATCTAATATCAAAAAAAAAAAAAGCCTGGATTTGTTTTATGTGGTCCCAAGGAGCCAAACTACAGCCATGCATTAAATACATAGAAGACACATATTGACTCAATATTAAGAACTTTCTGAGCATCAGGGCTGATCTAAGATGACTGCGTTGCCTTATGAAGTACTGAGTACTGTGGCTTTCAGTGTGTGCAAGCTCAGATCATCCCATTTGGTTAGTTACAAAGGAGATTCAATCATCAACAGTTTTCAAGGTTTCTCCTATACTTGACATCCTTTGATTTGGGTCTCATCCCCTTAAGTCCAGAGACAGTCTTTCTCCAGGGCCATACTCACTAGCTCGGGGCAGTTTCTTCAAGGGCCTGGCCCTGCTGTTCCACACTCCCTCCCATCTCCTCCCTTTTTCTTTCTGGGAGACTTCTAAGAAAGCCATCCAAAATTTCAACCATATTCATGCCCCCATCTCAAGTTATCAAAGGATCTGGGACAATGGATACCTCTGGCCAGGAGGACTTGGGTGAGAATGAAGAAAGAGACAAAAGACTGCATCCGAAGGGACAAAGAAATGGGAGATTGCACCACTAAGGGCATGTCCCCGCTAGGAAGGGCAGGGGCTGTGGGAGCTAACACAGAGGAAAGAGCTACTTAAAGCAGGCAAATTAAGAATAACTCTATGATGTTGGAAAGGAGGACCTTGCATGTAACCCTGGCATGAGCTCCCAGAATATATCTCTGAGTGTAGAAGGGGAGGAGGAGTCGCCTTAGAAAGCAGCCTTGCACAGGAAGGGACTTCTGGTCTTTAGCAAGCTGCCCCCTTTTCCACAGCTCTCCCCAGGCTCCCATGCTGCAGGGGTTAGGAGGGGTGAGAGTGGGAAACAGCAAGGAACTCACTGTCCCTGAGCTTCCGTGGCATGTGTAACCATACTTCTCGTCTGAGACACCGGCGTCTCCCCTCTATAGTCATGTTGTACACAGCTGCCACCCTTTCTCACCTCCAGAGCCCTGTCTAGCTTTGAACTCTTGAAGCGCCTTTTATCCAAGCCAAATCAAAGTGCTTTTACTGAGACCAATTAATGCTCAACTGTGACCCAAGTCACAGTTGCGGTGCTGAGGGCTTTCAGGGGCACTGGAGGACATCCCAGTACCCCACTGAGTCAGGGACTTCCTGGCTGGGCCACCAGGACAGGCTGCTGAGTCACACCCACCTGGAGCTGCTTCTGCAGCAGGTGCGAAGGATCTGAGACTGCCCCCAAGCCACAACAGAGCGTCGTGTGGGCACCAGGCACCTGTGGGCAGGTAGGGCATAGAGCCGGGTCAGTAGCTAAGCACACATCCCTGGCGGGCAGCTGCCTGCAGACCTGACTCAGTGCTCATGGCTAAGCCAACCACCGGATTTTCCAGACTGGACTGGCCCAGTCTGACATTGCAAGGACCTAAAGGGTCCCAGGAGCACAAGATAGGGGGCTTGGCAGTCCTAAGAAGCTAGTATGTACCTATATACATAAAATAATATAAAAATAAGATGTAAAGAAATTAGATACTCAGGCAACAAAGCCCAAAATATCTTGAACAAAGCCAGGCACAATGGCATATGCCTGTAATCCCAGCTACTCTGGAGGCTGAGGAAGGAGAATAACAAGTTGGAGGCCAGCCTGAGCAACTTAGTGAGACCCTATCTCCAAATTTTATTCCGGGGTGGGAAATGTAGCTCAGTGGTAGAACACCCCTTTGCTCAATCAGCAATAATAGTGCCTCAGATAAACCTCACTGGCTACGATACTACCACCTCGCAAAGCTCCTCTGCTCAATCAACAGTACCATACAGGCACACATGTGCACACGCACACACACACAACAATAGCTTGGGTGCTTTGCGGGGCGGGTGCTTTTTTAAAACACATCTTTATATTACCAAAGATGATGCTCCAGCAGCATTTCCTATGTATCTTCATATTTCCCCAACACTGCTCTACTCCTTTGCAGCCTCCTAGATGCCATGGGGCTGGTTGGTGAGGAAAACTGCAGAGCTCATTCCTACCTCAGAGCATGAGGGGAAAGCGAAAGCTTCCTTAGCCAAAGCACCACCCCACTGCCAGACCTCATGCAGCAAGACTGATTATTCCTGATTCCTGAGCCTGGGGCCTACTAGAGCCTCAACTTTACACCCAATTCTCCCTCTTCCTCTCCCCAGGCCCCACTGCAGTGAGGCTCACACAGCCTCCTGCTGACTGCCACACAATCACAGGATCACAATCTGACCTACCCACCCATACTCCCGCCAGGGGACTTCTTTCTGCCACCCGAGAGCAAGAGGGGTTGAGGGTTTATAAAAGATAGGATCTAGCTGGCCTAAGATCCCAACCTGAGACCGTCCCACTTCTAGGACCTGGGCCCCTGCTGAGGATGCAGGCAGTCCTCAAGGCCATGGAAACCTTTTCAGGACTCCTCAGAGAAGAACTCACATCTCTCTGCCACATCCTGGGCCAATTCCAGGAAAAATTCCCCATGAGACTGGAGCAGCCAACCCTGGGGCAGAACAATGAGATTCTCTCCCGCACCATCCTCACTTGCTCTGATGGGCTGTGTTCACCCTCCTGCAAAGCCAGGCCTTTAGCCATCCTTGCACTGACCTATAACCAGGCCCTGTCCATTCAGTCTCTTTTGGGGACCTTGGGTCCACCAAGCCCTGTGGACTTGCTTTTTCACCAGCAGCAGCTCTAGTCTAATGCTGCCCTTGCTTTCACCCCATAAGCATGGCCCATTTTTCTCTGCAAGGCCTCAGGAGTTGACAGGGGGTATGACAGCCCCTTTCTCTCCCTCCCTGCACTCCACAGGGCCCACTATTTCCAGCTCTGAGATGGACGACTTGTGTGTAGAGCTGGGCAAACTCCAGGCTTGCTACAACTTTCCAGGGATAGTCCTCTGAAATAGCTATGGGCTTGTTCTTTGGTGTTTGCAGCTATCAACTAAATAGACAATGCCAGTGTGCCACCTGCAGAAGGGTGCCAGCATCCTTGATGGCACAGCCTTGCCTCCTCTCCCATCCTAGACTGGGTGCCACATACTCCCAAGAACCCTACAAGGAAGGTATCAGCTTCCCTAGGTCAAGATTGCAGTTTGGACTACTGGGCAGGGATAGTGAGAAAGTCTTCTCCCCAAATACCTGATGGGGCTGCCCGAGAGGTTGGGGAGATACTACCCTGTGCTGCTGGGGAAGGTGGAGAAGGTGCCTGGGGCAGTGCACAGACCTGAGGAAGAGGAAGTACAGGAAGCAGCTTGCTGACTCTCCCTGGACCCTATGAAGAGAGGACTCTTGCCCAGGGCCCTTGTAACCTGGCATCGTAAACACTCAGGACGCTCCCAGGAGCTGTCCTCTGCCTCCTCCAGCACAGGATGGAAGGAGGAAGACGGGTCTGGGCTGTAAATCTGAGAAATGGAGCAAACCCCCGGGGGTAGGGGATAGGGAGGCAGGGGCACCTTAGGGGAGTCAGATGGAAGCCATTTCTCCAGTGCAAATATGAGAAGTGACTTCATTATCACAAGCTGGTACTCCTAACCCAAATGGGAGGCTGGCAGCCAGGGCCCTTCTCCCCAAAACACTAAGATTATCTAAAGGTGCATGACATTTGAAGGGAGAACCTAGGGGGAGAGTCAGAAGCAGCCTGGCACAAACCAGAGGTTTCCAGAAGCAGGGGCCAGGCCTGCTATAGTCACTGAGTGCCCAGAGGGTACCTGGCACAAGGCAGGGACTCAGTAAGGACCTGAATGAGGGAATGGGTGCATAAGGACGAGTTTGGGGCAGAGTGTGGAAAGTTACAACAAATAAAAATAGCTTTGGGGACCCCCTTGTGGGGACTGAGGAGAGCTGGGCCACATAAATGAGGGGGCAGCTGTGTGCAGGTGGGGAGCGGGGCCCTCGGCCTGCCCTAGTGGGAGTGATGCGGGTGTCTGTGCGGCAATACTACCTAGAGTTGAAGAAGACTGAGGCAGGAGCAGTGAGCCACCCCTCCCCAGATGCGCTCTGAGTCACCACTGTGAGCCCAGGAAGAGCTGTGTCTCGGCTGCCCCCATCCTCCCTCACCGGCTCCACCCACCAGCCCTCGTTCCAGCCCTCCCTACAGATCCTTTCTAGCTCTGCCTCAGTGCCCCAGAATGCCCCCAAGCCAGGGGCAGGGGAGGTGCAGAGCAGGCCCGGAGACAAGAGTGCTTAAAGTGGATGGCCCAGGACAAAGGGGCGTCCCCATTCAGGAGAGAGAATCGTGAGACAGCATCCTCCCATCCCCTGCCCCTGTGTATCACACACCCATGATTAGGTTCCCGGGAATGTATTTTACTCCACTGTCAGGGCCCTGTGGCCGCTGCATCCCCACAAGAAAGCCGAGTTGTTCCTCAGAGAAGTAGAATAGATTTAATCTGTAGATTAGCAGCAATTATGGACACCCAGAGACTGGGCAGAACCTGTCCCCTGAAGGCACCTCAAGGTCCCTGAAGGCTCCCTCAGTTCAGAGCTGCTGGCCGGATGTTAGCTTTGCGTTCGGCTTCAATGCAGTACTTCTCAGGAAGGCCGGAGGCTCTGCCAGGACAACGCAGGGCAAGCATAAGGAAGATGCAAGAAGAAGCAGGCCCTGGGTGGGTGGGGCTTACAGAACCTCGGCATCTGCACCCCAACCCGCTCCCATAACTCACCTCCCACCCTCCTCCAAGCACCTTCCTGCCAAGGTTCCAGTATCCTGCCACACAGCTCCCAGAAAGCCAGGGAGCCCTGGTCCAGAACATGCTGCTAGAGGCACCCTGACTTCAGGGGGCTGAGCCGGAGTCGAGGAGGCCCTCCCTGAGCACCTGTGCCAGGCCCCTCTACCCGGAATCCAGCCTGCTGCGCCAGTCTCTTTGGGGAAGGGGAGGGGAGCTGGGGAAGAAAGTGCACCTCAGCTCTTCAAGTTTCTTCCTCTTGATGTCCTTAATGCGCTCCTGCTGCTTCTGGGCCTCCTCTTCGAGGCGCTGGCCCTCCTCGAAGGTGGCAATCCGGTTCTGCACCAGCCTCTGCTGGTTCTCACGCACCTGGCGCCGGAGCTCGTTGGCATGCTGCAAGCGCCCTGTGGCCTTCTTCTCCTCCTCCAGCCGCTCCTTCTCCATCTGCTCTCTCTGCGCCCTGAGGAGGGACACAGGGGTGGAATGGGCCCAGCTGCTGAAGAAAGGCCGAGAGCCTGCCAGTGGCTCCTCTGTGAGGCTGTGCTTTGGAGACCACAGACCCCAGGCTCCAGTTCTCTCCTTCCTTAGCTCAAAGGTCAGCTTGAAGGTGGCCACCGTGGGCTCCCTTCTCCCGCAGCCAGAACCAGCCTCATAGGCATGCGACTGTGTGTCCTGGGCACGTTCAAAAGGGCCCCAGGCTTGGTTAATGCTCTGCTGTCACGGTGTTAAAATTCTTTGTTTAACAAGATATTTCACAGTCAAATTTTTCACTGGGCTCTACAAATTATGTAGCTGGTTCTACAACCAGGATTTCACCAACTGGGAGTTATTGTTGCTACTCTTCCTTCATAACAATTCATAGCTCCTCTCTAGCTTGTTCTAAAATTTCCTTTCTCCCTCCCCCCTCCCTCCCTCCCTGCCTTCCTTCCTTCTGAAACCAGAAAATAAAGGGACAAAGGGAAAAGGCCAGAGAAAAACTAAATAAACTAAGTGAACTAACAGCCAGTTGAGATAAAGCTTCAAGGGAAGCTACGGGACGCAGCAGCAAAGCAACTTATGCTTTTGCACGAACTCTGCCCTCTCTAGCCTCCAGAGAGTGGTATATAAATTCCTGGATTGGAATGCTTCCTTGCTGTCCCCCTCATCTAGTGATGGGTTTTTTTTTGTTTTGTTTTGTTTTTTTGGTACCGGCGATCGAACTCGGTTCCTTGCACTTGTGCAGCAGGCGGCAAAACCACTGAGCTAAATCCCCGGCCCATAGCGATGGCTTTTATATTTTGCTCTTTCTAATAAAGCACATCTAGCCAGGGCCGGGGACTTAGCTCAGTGGTTCCACCGCCTGTTTCGAAAGCGGAAGGTTGCAAGTTCGACCCCCGGTAACAGAAAAAGGGGGGGGGGATGATTTAATAAACGGTCTAAAATAAAATTTATTTTCTAAAAAACACACCTAGCCATATTCTGTCTCTTCCTTCTATGTCACCTCAGAACAAGAACCCAGAGGGGGAAAGAGCTGGTAATCCTTTCTTTCCTTTCTTTCTTCCTTCCTTCCTTCCTTCCCTCTCTAACAATAATAACAATAAAACCAACAGAGAAACAAGTGACAAAGTCTGTAATGTCAGCTCTATCTAAAGGAAAAGAAAGATCTTGGCCTGGTATCTTGCTTCTCTTATTGACCCACCTCTCCAAATTCCTCTTAGAAGCCTCCTCCACCAAAATATTTCACAAAGCCAGGTATAGTGGCACACACCTGTGATCCCAGAACTCTGGAAGGCTGAGGCAGGAGGATTTCAAATTTGTCCAACCTGAGCAACCTAGCAACTTAGCAAGACCCTGTCTCAAAATAAAAAATAAATGAAGGGCTGGAGATGCAGCTCAGTGCAAAGGCCCTGGGTTCAATCCTTAGTGCCGCACACATGTGTGCGTGCACACAAACAAGCACATAACTGCATGGACCCTGACATCAAAAGAAAAGAAACTAGACAATGCTCAGAAAAAACTGAAATAAAACGTGGTCACATCTCAAAGGACATGTATTCAGGGGCATCTTGAGCTAAATTGTTTCTTTCTTTCTCAATATAACCAAAACCAAAATTCAAAGCCATTGTAGACAGGGATCTCTCACCTGCTCTCCTCTCACAGGCTCACTTGTAACCCAACAAAGATCCCAAATACACTGCTTTGTTTTCTCCCCTCCTCTCCCCATTGTCCATGATCCACCGTACAGGAGGCATCTTCTCAAATCCCAGCAGCTCTTTCTACCAGACTGACAGCTCCTAAAATCCCACACCCTCAGAGCCTCCCCAAGTTTATCAGACGAGAACTGCTGGCTTCCCTGCTCTTCTGCATCTGGACACCAAACCCCTAGTGCTGAGACACCTCTACGGCAGCAGGGACACTCTGCCCAGCCTCACCACTGTTTCCCTGTGTGTAGATCAGTTTCCCGTGGGTTTATCCTCCTCTGAGTGGAGGAGCGCGTGTGGAAAAAGGGTTCCATATGCCCTGGGGTGGGGTACAGTGGAAAACCCAAATGGGAAGAGCCTGTCACTCTACAGGGTTAGGTCAGTGGTCGTGTTGCCAGGCTACATATTAAAATCATGTGGGGGATTTCAAAAGATGATGATGTCTGGGCCTCACCCCAGGCCATTTAAATCACACTTTGTGGTGGTGGAACCTTAACATCGGCATTTTTGCAAAGGTCCCAGGCATTTCTGAGATCAGCTAACTCTGCTCAGTCAACAGGGTGAGAGTTAAAGGCATCACTATGTTCAGAAGCAGGAAGTCCATATGTAGGCCATATGGGAGGCCATACCTTTAAACTAAGAAAATTTGGGTTGCTGGCTGTGGCAGAGATAGTCTAAGAGTGAAGATGCCCATCATGGAGGTCACATGGCCTAGCGACACTAGGTCTAGATGACAACCCAGGACAGCAGGTGAAGTTGAACCTCTGCAAAGGGCCAGTCCAGCTTTAATAACTGGCTAATGTGTCTGCTTCGGGCAAACAAAGCAAAGCAGAGACAAATGGGTCAGCATCAAAAGTAAGACCTTAATTTCATTTCATTAATATTTATTAGTGCTGCTAAAGGCACACAGATGTCCAAGGGCACAGAGGCCAGGGAGAAGAGAGGAGACATCTGGAAGGCAATCTGGAGCCCAGGGGCAAGATCTCTGGGGGCATTTAGGAAGATATCTTCCTTACCAGGTGTCCAATGACTGTGGCACAACCCCAAGGGCAGGGAAAGCTACAGAGCCAAAGGACATCACAGCCAGTGGGAAATGCCCATAGGGCCTGTGATCCTATAAAAGACGGGGAATCTGGCTCCGGCAAGAACAGAGGCTCCCCCAGATCTGCTCTGCCTCTGCCAGGGGCCTGGATCGCTAGGTCCAGCATGCCACTAACCGAGGCAGTACCAAGAGCAAAGGCCTACTGCGTGCTCACCATGAAAGCTGGGCCATCCTGTTCAATCTCTATTTATCTGAGCATAACTTCTGTAATTTTCAAATATCCAAATTCAAATTCTGCTTGGTTGCTTTCCTTTTGAAAAATTCTTATCTTACAAAAGTTGCAAGATCCAGAACAAAAAGGGAGATTTTTCTAGGTTGGCCAGCTCTGGTGGGCAGGTCTGACTGGCCAAAAATAGAGTACAGAGGGGACCCAGTGGCACCTATGATTACCGGGTGCCATGGGGAGAGTCAGGACAGTGAGCGATGTGAATGCTTGGCTTCTGCTTAAGTGCTGGAATTATCATTGAGCCAAAATAGAAAGCAAAAATAAAAGAATGAAAAGTTGCCAGGCAGGAAAGATGGATGAATATAGGTGAGGTCCATCTGAACATAAATCTCTAACATCCTTCCTATGGAATAGGCAAGAGCTCTCTTCATTAATTCCCAATGTCCTCCGTGGCACACAATGCAGAGCTTTGAATGTATATGATCAATGCACATTTGCTGAATTCAAAGTCCTGCTCTAGTGGCACAGCCCTCAAGTAAATGAAGTTCTTCTCAGGGCCAGGGATTTAGCTCAGTGGTTTTGCCACCTGCTGTGCAAGCGCAAGGACCCGAGTTTGATCCCCGGTACCAAAAAATATATATATATATGAAGTTCTTCTCCTCCTCTCCCAAGTCTCCTCTGCTGAAGCCTCATCCTTAATTTTCAGCAGGACATGGGAGCAGGGGACCAGATGTCTATACACCTTTACTGCCCTAGGATAAATAGCTCTAATAATCCCCAATTCCTTAAAAGCACTTCCAGGTGCTATTTTCCAATCCTCTAATCACAAACTTCTTGGCTTTAGTGGTTGAAAGATTCCAACCCTAAATCTAGCAGAGTGACGGCATGAACAGGCTCAAGAGTGATTCGCATCTGTCCATTAAAATATCAGAAAGCTCCTCTCCATCTAGTATGAATCTCCCCTGCTGGATACCCCTTCGTACCCCTCCCATAGCAGGGCAGACAGGGGAAGCAAGCCAAGGTTCCCAGTCCCCTCCTACCGGAGAATCCGCTCAAACTCATCCCGGTCCCGTTGCACCTGAACAGCCAGAGCATGCTCCTTGAAAGCCACCTGTTCCAGGCGACTTTTCCGCAGCTTAGCCTCAGTTTCCATCTTCTTCTGTACATTTTCCTTTTCCTTTCTGCGCCACTCTCGGTCCACAACCTCTTGGTTCCGCTTGGCCCGCAAGGCATCCTGGGAAGGGATGGTGGGGGGGACACAAAACAACCTTAGGTACAGACCAGGTGTCTCTACGAAGATACCTATTGACAGCTTTACTCAGTCAGCTTTAAGAAGCATGTGGATTTCTCTGACAGCAAATTATTCTAGGAAAGAACCTGGCATAGAACTTCCAGATCAGAAGACAGCCGGAGGAGTCACCTTGTCCTTCCACCCCACTTCTCCCAAACCTTTCCCAGTTCCCCAAACACCTCCAGGCAGTCCTGCAGTTGCTTCTAATTTTTAAAACTGTTAATGGTAGAGATATCACAAGCTGCTCTGGTGACATATTTCATTGGTCAGGTAAGGCTGAAAGTTCTTTACATAGCAGCCAAAAACTTTCTTTGGAACATTAAGCACATGCTGTTCCTCAATCCTTACGGTCACAAGCACATGGCAGACACCATGCGTCCACTCCTCCAGGTCTCCATCCTTGGGGCCATTTTACAGCTGCCAAAGGAAGAACTGTGGGAGTGGTGCAGGCAGAGAAAAGCAGAGAAGGGAAGGAGGCCAGCACCTGTTCTGCCTGATAATCCTGGGCCTTTTCCTGCATGGCCCTGAGGCGGGCAATCTCCTTCTCTTTTTCTCTCCGGATTCTCTCCTGCTCAGCCTCAAATGCTGCTTCTCGAGCCTGCAGGGAGAAAAGGCTTCATTGAATAGTTCTCATTGCCCCAGGCTTGCACAGAGAAACAGTTCACACAACACAGCTTCCAACATCTTCCCTGACTTCCTGACTCCTTTTTAGATAGGCAAAATGAACTCATCAAATGCAGAGACATAAAAACGAGTGTTTGTAAATTTTTTTTTTTTTTTCAGTATTGGAGATCGAACCTAGGACCTCTGAGCTACCTCCTCAGGCTGGACTTGACCTCTCGATCTTCCTGTCTCAGCCTCCCACAGTACTAGGCTTACAAGTATCCACCACCAAGCTGACTTACAATGCTCCACTGTTTACAAAAGATTTTCCTGTGCATTATCCCAGAGAGTTCTCACAACAACTCCTGAGACAGATATTACAGATGAGGAAACAAATGTGCATAGAGATCAAGGGTCCTGCCCCAGATCACCTAACTAGTAAAAAGTCAAACGGGATTTGAATGCAGGTATCCTGAACCCAGTTTTTGTACTCCCTCCAGTACACTGAAGATAACTTTCAAGTTGCATGGCCACTGGGCCCAGTCACAACTGTGGCTCCCTGCCTGTCTTGTAAAGTGCAGCAGGTGGAGGTTATCTCATTAATCCCTAGGCAAAGGGCCAACCATGCTCAGGGCAATCCCACAGTGGTTGGCGGATACCTACAGAGTGAACCATCAAAATTAGTACCTTTTACCACCTTCCTGAAAGAACAGGTATATCCCTAAAGCTTCCCAACCCTGTTGCTCGAGCACTCATAAGACTATGGGCAGAGGTTGAGTAGAAATGTGATCTTCCCAACAAGAACCTCCCTTAGGCCTCATTCTACCTAACCAGATCCTGTGAAGCCCAGTGGGCTGCCTCCTTGAGAACCACACTCCGCTCTGTCAAGCTGTGTCAGCTTTTAGTTCTGCAGGGCAGCCCTGGCTGCAACCACAGACGCCACTGAGAGGGGAAGTGATTGCGATGTACAGTCATGTGTCACATCATGTGGTGATCAAGAACAGACTTCATATACAAAGGTGGTCCCCTAAGATTGTGTCATCTAGTGACACTGTACCCACGGGAGTTTAAGTACTGTTACATTCAACAGTGACGAAATCACCTAGTGACACCTTTCTAAGAATGGGTGCCATCATTAAGCCATACGAGATGGACTGCACTTAGACACTTCCAGTGCCCTGTGGACACACCCACGTCTCACCCCTTTGCTAGTCACCAGCCTCTCCCAGCTCCACCTGGCCAGGGTCCTTTCCGTGGGTAAAGATAAGATATATCCCTCCTGACCAAAACCCTACAGTTATTGTTTGTCATTGCACCCTTCCTGTCCTGCTCAAGGTCCAGCACGTCCCTAACAACCACTCTCAGCTGTCCACAATCACTGCACCACCCTTGCTTTTCACCCCGACCACCTCAGACTCTGCTGCAGCCAGCAGACCAGTTCAGCAACTCCCATGCATAATTAGCTCACCGTCTCCACCTTCACCCATTCAGGGAAGGAGCTACTCAGTTCTGTACAGTGGACTAGGTACTCTGCCTAGTCTGATACTAGACACACACTGAAGCATTCAGTATATTTTGAATCAATCCACAGCTACACCACACAACTGTTGTAAAGATTAAATGGGAGTGGGCTGGGGATTTAGCTCAGTGGTGCCGCCGCCTGCCTCACAAGCACAAGGTCCTGAGTTCAATCTCCAGTACAAAAAAAAAAAAAAAAGATTAAATGGGATAACACAAATAAAACAACAGCACAGAGCATATGTACAGTCCCAGTGCTTAATAAATGGTAGCTATAAAAGAATCAGGATATGATATATATGTACCAATTCCCTATAATGAATATATTTATTATGTACTGCAAACATACACTAATAAAAAAGAGGAAAAATAAAATATAAAAAATAATAAAATAAAAACAAATGGTAGTTATATAGACATTACTATGCCGAAAACATCTATGGCCCACATCTTATATTCTTATTCTACGGCCTGCATAGCCCCAGAATCTGGTAAGAAAACTAAAGCCAGTGAGTGAGCTTTGCTGACTTTCATTTCCTGTGATTTGTATTCAGCATAAACCAATATACTGACTATGCCTTTTCAAATGATAACCACACCCTCCCCTCCTGCATTAAGAATCCCTACTGCAGAGGAACAGAGAGAAGTGTGATGTGTTTTCTGTTATCCTGGAACTACAAACTTTTCGGGGGAGACAGAATCAACATAGGAAGAAATAATCACGTGTCTCTTCCTATCTTTACATAAATCCATCTCCATGTGTGCTTAAAAGCCTTCTTTTGCCCTCTATCCCCCACAGACCCCAATCTTTTCATCCCTCAATTTTGCCCTAGAATGAGTCCACACATCTGTGAGCTATATCCATCCATCACAGTCTGCCAACCTTGCATTTTATTCCTACAGGTTCAACAGTGAAGGGAAGGAAAAGGCTATTCTCTGAGTCTGACATCCAATACAGGATGCCTAATGTAGGAGTTTTCATAAGAAATTTATGGAGCAGCTGACTCATGATTACTGGCGAAAGTCAAGCCATGGAGAATCCACCAAAACTTCACTTTCACCAATCATTTTTAATTTTCTTCCCTTCCTGCATATGATCCTCATTCCAACCTCTAAATGAAGGTGTTAATGAGAATAATAACACACTCATCTGGGTGTTCTCTCTACATTACTTTCTGTTAATGAACAAATGGTCTGGCAAAGATGAAGAGAAAAAGAAGCCAAGTGCTTGATCTAGGGACACGCATTTTAGAATGAAGACAGAGCCGCTTCCCATGGCTCCCTTGGCATGCAGGCCTGCCTCCTGAGGTTACAGCCAGGCCATTCCCGGCTGGGTGAGCCCAGCATCATAAACCCAGACCCTACCATCTTCTTCTTGGTGAACTCCATCACCATCTGGTCTGCCAGCTTCTCCTGAGCCAGCAGCTGTGCTTTCTGCCGCTGGTTTTCATCATTGATGTGCTGAATCTCAGCCTGCATCTTCAGCCTTTGCTGGTGTCTCTGTTGCAGGTCCTGCCGGCAGAAGGGGGAGAGCCTCAGAGCAGAAGGAGGTAAGTGAGACCAAAGGCTGCTGGCGTATGGGGTTGGAAATGAAGACATGGCGTACGGGGGTGGAGATGAAGACGGAGGCAGGAGACAAAGGTGCAGCCACAAACCCGCTTCTGTCACCAGCCTTTGTCAGAGGTGCTCTCTCAAGGGTCATCAGGGACGGCTACCAAATGGCCACCTTGCTGTCTTCAGCCAGTTTGATTTTGTGGCAGTCCTGACACTGCTGACCTCTACACACTCAGGAAGTGAAGGCTCTTAAAAAGTTCTGCTCTGTGCCCGTGTCACTCTAAATCCCAGCCTTGTGGCTTTGTTCCTGCTGTTATCCTCCTGCCTTCAATCCTTTAATTTCCTTCTCCTATGTGAACTCAAACTTTTAAAAACATTTTATTTTATTCATTTATTTAAGTACCAGGGCTTGAACCCAAGGGCTTCGCACTAAGCTATCTCCCCAGCCTTTCTGCATTTGGGCGGGGGGGGGGGGATACCAATGATCTAACTCAGGACCTTTCACTTGCGAGGCAGGCACTGGAACCACTGAGTTAAATCCCCGCCCATGCTTTTATTATATAAATTTTGAGACAGAGTCTCACTAAGTCACCAGGGTGCCTAGACTAGGCTTGAATTTGCAATTCTTCCTCAGCCTCCCAGAGTACTGAGATTATAGGGATGTGCTACTATGCCTGGATTCAAATTTTCTTTTCTACATTTATTTTTTAAATTGATAAACCCAAAGTTTCAATCTCTACCTAATAGTGATGATTAAAAATAAATATTGCCTTACTTTAGTGCTTTCTATTGAATACTTTCTATTCATTGGGCACTTTGCATAGCCTATCTCTAACACCTAAATATAATCCCAAAACTCTGATAGACAGTTCTTGGGCAGATGAAGAAACACGCCCAGCATGAAGTGACTTGCCCAAGGCCACACAGCTAATAAACCCAGAGCCAGAATTTCAAAACCTGCTTTGTGTAAAGTTCCAACCCACTCTGGGAATCTAACTTTATTGTCCCAACTTTGTTTTCTCCCCACTTCTGAACTCCCCCTGCACCTATGGTGGTGCCAGGCTTCTTGGGAGGTGATCCTGTTCTACTATAGGAAAACAGCAGTAATAAACTGTTGCTAAATGAAGACCAGAATGAGTGACATGTGAGAAAGAAGAGCATAAATGACCTAGACACAGGAAAACATGTGTCTCCGAGCTATGGAGAAAAGAGTACCAGCAGGACCCTGAGTGACAAGATCCTTTATGAGAAAGGAATCCCTGCCTTTTCCAGCTGAACCCCCCAAATCTCCCACTGATCAGACCACCTCTGAGCCCAGCGCCCTTCTCAGGTTAGTGCAAAGGGGAGTTACAATCTTACGCAGCTGGCTCCCATCACCTCTGATGGATTTCAGACTGCCCACCTCCTACAGTCTCTAGCTCCCTCTATTTCTTCAAAGACCAAATCCTTCCCAGGCCTTCCAGGTCCTCGGCCCTGGTTTACCCACGCAAGTCAACCCTGCTCGTGTGTCCTTCTCTTGGGCTGCCTTTCTGCCAGCCTGGCTCACTCCCCAGCTCAGGCCCCTCCTCCAGGCAACCTTCTGAGCCTCCCCTGGGTCCGTGCAGTGCATGAGTGACAGCCATGAGCATTCCTTCACTCTCACCCTGCTGCCGGTCTGTCCACTTTTCCAATCTGCCCCCAACTCTCGTGCTCCTCTTTTCCTTCTCCTTTCTTCCTTTGCTTTCCGGGTTTTCTCCCCAGTTTCAGCCATGCCATTGCTGCTCCAGGCATTATTTAACCTCATTGACCCTCAAAGCTAAAGAAGCTGCTGCCCTCTGATCCAGGATATATAGATAATCATGGGTTTATTTGCCTTCTTCTTTAGTTATTTACTCTTGGGTTTGTTGTTTTTGTTAGCTCATTTCATTTCCAAGAAACCAAGGTCTTTCCCTGTTTCTCATCTTTGAAACCCTCAGAGCAACCCAGATAAACTCTTCACTCTTCTTGCTAATAAGGCAGGAAAGGCTGCCTCTGCACCCTGAGATGACAGGCCAGCTCTAAAGCAGGGCAGGCATGGAATTTCCTACCTAAAGTTCCCACTACCTCCTGGAGACTCAGGGAGAGACATCCACAGAGCAATGGCCCAACCTCGGAGTAATGGTATTGACTCACTGACTCTTGGCAATTCCCATTGATTCCCCCTCCCCACAATCTGGATGGATTTTCCAGTCTTTTTTTCTCACCCCCCTTCGCTGCATGTTTGCCCCATACAACTCCCTCCTGGCCTTTCTCACCCTCTCTCCTGACTCTTGGTCCTCTTCTCAAGCACTTCACAAGCCTAAATGTCCTCCTTCCTCCCTCAACGACCCAGTGACCTTCACCCCACCTCTCATGCTGATGCCCACACTGCAGGTGTGCCGATAACCTGCAGAGTTCCAAGTCTGCCCACCTGTGAGACCCTTCTCAGCCCCGAGTTGATTATCACCATCAATCCACAGCCTGATGACAACTCAATCTCATCCATAAACTGGGGGGGGGGGGGAGTGTAAAAATAAAAATGAAGGAATATATGTTCCACAAGTTAAACAGTGCCATGAGGAAAATATCAGACAAATTCCAGTATGGAATATCCTTTAAGGCACCTGGCCTGGATGCCTCCAAATATCGGTGTAATAAAAATAAATGAATGGGACTGTGTGGACAGAGGATGGTTAATGGCACAGTGGTACAACTGGATAGGAGAAATAACTTCCAATGTTCTGTAGCACCATGGGAGGACTACAGCTGACAGCAGCTCATTCTATATTTCAAAAGAGCTAGAAGAGGAGATTCTGAGTGTTCCCAAAGAAATGGTAAATGCTGCAGGTGATAGATATGCTGATTACCCTGATCTGACCGCTGCACATTGTATACTGAACTATCACACTGTATGCCATAAATATGTACAATTACCATGTCAACTAAACAAAATATATTTTTTAAAAATAAATCAATAGGTTTCGCCGCCTGCTGCGCAAACACAAGGACCTGAGTTCAATCCCCGGTACCCAAAAAAAAAAGTTTAAAAAATTGAAAAAATAAATAAATAAATTGATGACTGAGAAACACCTTTAGATCAAAACAGACTAAAGTGACTTAACCAAATGCAATGTAAACTTTGACTGGAGCCTGGCTTGGAAAAAAAATCTGTAAGTACATTTTTGGGATAACTATAATATGGATTAAGCATTAGGTGATAGTATGGAATCACTGAATTAGAGTTTCTGATGGGCAAGTGACAATGGTACTACTGATATCTAAGACTGCCATTGTTCTTCAGGCTGACACATTTCAGTGGCAAAGTGTCAAGATATCTGCAATTTAAAATTGATAAACAGGCCCAGGGATTTAGCTCAGTGGCTCCACACCTGCCTGGCAAGCACAAGGTCCTGAGTTCAATCCCTGATAATGAAAAAATAAAATAAAATAGATTAACAATAGATTATATATATATATATATATATATATATATATGAAAACAAGCAACTAAAGCAAATTGTTGATACTTATTAAATCTAAGTCAAGAATTTATAGGTAGGGCCAGGGATTTAGCTCAGTGGTTTCGCTGCCTGCTGTGCAAGTGCAAGGACCCGAGTTCGATCCCTGGTACCAAAAAAAAAAAAAGAATTTATAGGTAGGATACAATTTTTTCAACTTTTCTGGGCATGTAAAATTTTCAAAATAAAAAAATGGAGGGGAAAAAAAAGAACAGATGTTCCAAATGCCTATCGTGTCCCTCTGTGCCTCAATACATTGCAACAGAGCAAATCAGGCAAGTAGGAAAGGATTTGTGAGTCTCCTTATCTTGGGCAAGTATGTCATCAGACTTTGCTTTTTGCAGTGGCTATGTCTACTACTTTTATTTAGGTTCCCAGAAAGGACAGGGTTGGCTTCACCACACAATTCATGACAATGGGATGCTATGCACTTTAGATGAAGTAACAGCAGGGAGCCCGGAACTAAGGCATGGCCAGTGTTCATCTACAAAGCGTGTTATGTCTTTAGGGGATGGACACAGACTATAAAGCATGCCCGTGTTTACTTGTGCAAAGCATGCAGCCTTGGACTTGCTTTATGTGTCTATTCACACTGAGATGTCAGTCTCAGACCCCAGGTCCCAGGGAGGCAGGAACAATATCTACCCAAATCATTGTTCATCTCCCAGGGTGACGCCATGGCCAAATAAATATTTAATACGGCAATAAAAAGTAGATGGTGATGATGTTGTGAAATGAGCATGTGCCTGACAGAACCAGTCCACACCCTGAAACCCCAAAGTCTTGGAGGGCTTTGTTGCTGTTGCTGGTGAAACCCAGCGTGGCCTGTCCAGCACTGTTACCCGCAGATCCTCCTCGTGGAGCTGCTCCATGTACTCCAGCATCTGCTCCTTCTCCTGCTCCCGCTGCTCCGCAAGCAGTGAGCGCTCCTCCTGGTTCTTTTCCATCTGCTCCACAATGTGCTGCCTTCCTCTGGGAGGGAGCAGTGACACAGTGTTACAGATACCAAGGATCCAAGTCCCTCTGCTCCAACCTCCATCTAAGACGGGAGGTTGCACAGGGACAATCTGGCAAGAGCTCTTTTATACATTCAAAATGGGGCCATAATTTTTGTGTCTCACTGTCAGACAGCTCCGAACCACCAGTGGTAGGTACATGCATGACTGTGCCATCGGGCAACATAGGACAGTCCCATGGGGTGGAATGAGTTTCTTAAATCCTACCTCTTTCCAAGTCTTCTCTGAGAATGGGAACCAGCTTCATGAAGTTTCACAGAATTACAAAGCCCAGGACTTCTAATACCTCCTGTGCTTCTGTTATAACCTGCGTCTGCCTCCTCTGATAACTGTTTTTTTGATGTTTGGAGGTTTTTTTCCCACAAAATTATTAAAAGCTTTATTTACAGTTGGAATCATTCAACAAGAAAACAAAAGCCAATGAACCTGAAAAGGAATTAAGCTACTGTCTAGAACTTGCTCAGAACCTCCGACACCTTATTGACAACTGTTTTTCTTATATCTTCACCTACATTTAAGACTGCCTGCTGCTGGGCAGCTGAGCTGAGACTGAGGAAGTCTCTCAGTCAGGTGATCCCCAGCCAGAGGAAAGACCCAGGAGACTGGGTCTACAGTGTCACCAGTAACGCCCTGTGTGTGCCTGTGATGTCAGTAAATTTGGGAGCATCTAGACCCTGTGACATCAGTAAAGGCTGGAAGAATGAAAGAAGACAAGATTTGGAAGGACTCAAGGAGAAGGAGAGCAGGTTTCTCTTTCAGAGGGAGGATTTAACGGGCTTCCTACTCCAGGTGAAATGAACGTGGAAGCAGGCTTGAGCTCAACAGGGCCAGGTCAAGTCATTAGAACTGCCTGATAAAACAGAGATATTTCCCGCATTGGAGCAGCTCATGCAGAAGGTGCACAGCCACTTAGCCACGAAATAAACTTTGGCTTGGAGCCTTCTGCAGCCTACTGGCCACCTACTAGAACCACAGAGATGCACAGTTCAATGTAACCAAATATAGCCGGGGATTAAGCTCAGTGGTTCTACCACCTGCCTCGAAAGTGCAAGGACCCGAGTTCGATCCCCAGTACTGAAAAAAAACAAAGTAACCAAATACAGCTGGGGAGATACAACTGCCAATCAGAGTGTAGTACAAGGACTGCTCCTACAGGTAATTCATATATCTAGGTAATTCATAAACTGTGTGGAGGGCTGGGGATTTAGCTCATTGTTTTCGCTGCCTGCTGTGCAAGCACAAGGACCTGAGTTTGATCCCCAGTACCAAAAAAACAAACAAACAAACATAAACTGTGTGGCTGGTGTTTTAACTCTAGGACACTATGGTTCCATAATTTACCTGCTCTGGGACTTGTCTGGTTCTGCAAAATGAAGGGAGAGGGACTGAATTTATTCACTCTAATGTTAATTGAACACCCACTACAGGACAAACACTCTGCCAGGTCCTGGAGTTTCAGAAAGGAATGACACGCCCCTGCCCTTAATGAACTCCAAGCCTAAAGAAGGTCAAGAAGGAACCACATGCCAAGAAGAGGTGCATGAGAGTGACAGGGGACAGAAGAGGAAACTCCTGAGCCTGCCTGAAGCGAGGGATCCTTCTCAGAGGAGGTGACAGCAAAGCCACATACTATAGGAAGGGAAAACATTTTCCCAGAGGAAAAGGAAGGAGAACGGTATTCCAAAGAGAGGGAATCTGTGACAAGCACTAGCATGCTGAGGAAATGGGGAAGTGTAGAGTGGGTGGCAGAAAGTGGTGAGAAATGAGACTGAACTGAGGCCAGATTGGGAAGCACTTGTTACGATTGTGAAAATGAGCTTTAAAGTTCTGTGACTCTCCGTACCCTTCGTGGGGGACAATAGATAGTGACAATGCCCAAGTCTCATCTGGTCCCTCTTTGCTAGGATACATGGACCCAAAGGCACTCAGAAATGACTTAAACCACATCTTTACCGTATTCTTTCCTCCCTCCTCTTCCTCTCCAGCTCTTCCTGCCTTTGAATGGATTTCTGCCGCTCCACTTCCATCATCTGATCCAACCGCTTCTCCTCTGCATCCAGCTCTTTTTGTATCTGCTGCTTCTCCAGGATTTGGGCATCCTGGATGGCATGGCACTTGGCATTGAGGATAATCTAGGGAGTGGGGAAGAAACTGTGGCACTCGGCCTGGGGGTAAGGATAGAGAAGGACACACTGTGGGTGTGCGGAAGTTTGTGGGAGAGGAACGGGAACAAATACCTCTGTGTGTGCTGGAAATGTGTGCGGCTGCTCACAAGTCCAGAGCAGCAAAATCATTCAATAATTTTCCCTCTTCCTTAATATAGTTCTGCTCAAACATCTACTGGGCTCCTACTATACAATAGGGTCTGTGCAAAGTGAGACCCAGACTAGCATGTTTTGGGGTTATATAGTACTTGCAGGGTGATGGATTACCCTTTTGAATATGATGAAAGTTATGAGCCCTCTCCTCTTCTTCATAAAATTCACCTACATAAATACACACAGAATCTCCACTTAGCTTCCAAGGTCCCACGTAGGAACCCCTGAACCCCAAGTTAAGCTCAGGGGAGCTAAGACACCCTAGCAGAGGCCACACCACTGATTTATGTGCTGGAAGAGGCCAATGTGACACAAAAAGGGATGAAACCATGCATGGCCCCATCAATAAAACCAAGACATAAAAGCTCTGGGAAAGAAAAGGAGGTGTAAGCAGGGAAGATTTACCTAAGAGATCAAAATCAGAGATGAAGGGACTGAGGAGTCAGCATGTTTCACTTGGTCAGAAGCGAACCACAGGCAAATGAATTACAAAACAGAATTTCAAATGAGTGCCTGGTCTTCACGCTGTCTGCTAAAAGAAGCACTCTGAGCTGAAGTCAAAACAAATCCTATTGCCCGTGCCATCATCGGTGACCAGAACTGAATTAGCAGGAGAAAAATAAGAACAATACCCTTATACTTGTTTATCAGTCACAGTTCTCCAGGCTCTCCCAGATTTCAGCTTATTTAACCCTGCCAACAGTGCTGCGACAAAGGGTCACCTCTTTCAGTTTACAAATGAAGTAAGGCTCAGGGAGGGCAAGTGACTTGCCCAGGGTCACACAGCAAGCAGTGGCAAAGCCAGTCCTCTCTGATCGTAGCAATAAGGGTGGCAGGTCCAGCTCTCCCCGTGCCCCACCTACCTAGTCACCCCTCTCCCTCCCCCACCAGTCCCTCACCTGGCCCAGGGCACGACTATGAGGAGGGAAGGGGCGTGGCACCAAGTCCTCAGAAGGAGGGGACGGAGGAAGAGGCCCACCTTGTTTATGTCCTTGAGCTCCTCTTCCTGCTCCATGCGCAGCTTGCTGGCTCTCTGCAGGAGCTCCTGGGCCCGCTCCTTGGCCTCCTCCTCCAGGTCACTGAGCTTCTTATTGTTCTTCCTCGCCATTTCCTTCTGTTTCATGATCTTCTTGCGTGTGGTCACCGCATCCTAAGGGAAACCAGATGGGGTCGAGGGGTCTGGACCCAGGCACTCAGGTGACCCACAATGATTCAGCCTTAGCCCAGGAGGTTTCTCAGCCTGGCCTCATCCTCACCCTCCCTTTGGCCCATGAAGCCCCCCACCTCAGGTCTTCCTCTCCAGTTTTCACTCTGCAACATTTCTTCTCTACCTACACATTCATGCCTTGCTTCAGAATCCCCTCACGAGAGGGAGTGCCCACTGTCTCAAGAAGCAGACCGCTCCCTGAGCTTCTACTCTGCCACCCATCTGCAGCGCCGGGGTTGGGGAGGGTAGCTACCACAGTGGCTTCCTTCTCCTTCTTGGAGGCCTGCTCCCTGGCCTCCAACTCTTTTCTGGTCAGAACGTGGGAAGCCCTTTTGATCCGCTCAAACTCCTCCGAGCTGATGATTAGGGAGTCCCCGGAGGGGTCCTCTGTGGGAACACTGACACAGGAATAAACCGAGTTAGAGGGGAGAAGGGGGGAATCCTGGGCGCCTTGCTGGGGTTCCCCACACCATGCCAACCCTCCTGTGTGGACTCAGCCAGGAAGGAGAGGGCTGCAACTGCATGGCGGTGGGGGTGCTGAGTGAAAATCAAGTAATACTGCAGGTTGGAAAGACATTTTAGTTGGGGGTGGTAGCACAGGCCTATAATCCCACCACTCTGGGAAGCTGAAGCAAGAGGATCACAAGTCAAGCCCAGCTGGGCCAGTGTAGTGACTTAGGGGAGACCCTGTCTCAAAAAATTAAAAAAGGATGGGGAATGTAGCTCAGCAAGAAAGCCTGGCTTCAATCCCCTTACTGCAAAAAAAACGGGGATGGGGGGCTGGGTAAATTCTTGTTCTCTAAAGTCCAGCCCATATGCTACCTTCTCTGGGCAGCTCTCCATGACCCTCCTCTGTGTTCCTGGTGGCCACCCTGCCACCAGGCCCCACCGACCACCTCCTCCCCTGACCCCATCATGGCAGACGGTGCCCGCATCAAGACGGATGGTGCAGGCTCTGCTTCCTTTACGAGCTCCTTCAGGGTACAGACTCTGTCTAACTATACAGCTGCAGTCTCTGGCACAGCACTGAGTGAGCCCTTTAAGCAAATTTGTTGAATCAAACTTTAAAAATAGATTATTCCTGGTGACATTAAAAAAAAAAAGACAAGAGGATGCCAGACAAGGTTGAAATGGATGCTAGTGAGAAATCTAAACATCCCTGTCTGTCCAGCTAGAGAGAAGCTTTGAACCCTAAATACTAATTAAAATCTCTGATCAACAATTGCTGGAGACACGTCTGTAGACCTCTCCTGGTAGCTGCCCAACGCATTCAACAAATCTATAGGTAATTATAATGATTACAAACAAATGACACTCATTAAAGATGGGGGAGGGAGCAGTCAGGGGGTGGGAATAAAGCTGCTTCTGGGTGAGGCAGTTTAACAAGTGCATAGCAATAAGACGCAGATGGTCTGAGACAGGAAGTGAAACCTCACCTAATAAAACTAGTGTGATGGGGGAGGGGTTGTCCATAGGTAGACAGAACCAGTGAGTGGACTTGGGCCTCAGACAGGATAACTGTGGTTTATGAGGTGGTATGGCACAAAACAGCCTAGAATTTGTAGTGACCTGAAGAGATCTGAATCTAAGACCCTCGGTCTGAAAAACAACCAGCTCTTGGGTCCAAAGCATCTACAGAAGAAGCCTACTCCAAGAAGGAGCCATTCTCAGCCCCCAAGCCTGGCTCCATGGCTGCTGACCACATCTGGCCTGACTGAGCTCAACAGGAAGCTACAGCCAAGGCCAGCTCCTGCACTATGTACCAGCCAACCTCCCCAGCTGATGCCCAGGCAGCATTATCTGGGGATCTGCATTTTTAGCTGATGGAGCAAGAGTGGGAAGAACTGTTACAGAGAGGGGAGCACTAACGTAAGAGTAAACTTCCAAGCGGTGTGGGATGCCTTATACTTTGCTGAGCTTGGCCTCAAGCCCTCTGGGGTCCATGCAATCAGGAAACAAGGCTGAGCTAGTTTTGAAGGGACCCGGGAGCCTCTGTGAATTTCCTCTCATAGCCTCAGAGTGTAAGGCCAATTAGGCACTGGGTCAGTTTCCCTTTGCTTGGGATTCTTGATGCAGCCGAAAGGAAGTGACTCATCTAGATTGCTTCCCTTCACCAACTGCACTAATAGGAGCTTGGCCAGGACCCACTGAGGACTCCCCTCTGTCAGTCCCTCAGATCCCACAGACAGCCAGAAGATGGGGAGAAGAAAGAAGCCGGAAGTGAAGGACAATGGCAATAACACAGACAAAGGGAGAAGTGAGAGAGCCCAGGGTGCACAAGAAAGAACCATGAGACAAAAAGGGGGGACTGACTAGGAAAGAAACAGCAACTGGGCCAACAGAATGAAAGCAAACAAGCGTCCCCAGCTTCCCACAAAGGCCCTCAGAGGAAGTGCAGGCCAAGTGAAGGAGGCCTGGGCCTGCAACCCTGCAGACTCACATGAGTTCTCGAACCATGTCCCTGGTGATGAGCTGGATGGTCTCTGGCTTGTGGTCCGGGCCCAGGGCAGTGAGAGTTTTCCGGATGGTCTGCTTATCTCGCAGCAGCACAATGGGGCTGTCGCTCTGGCCCTGGGCTGGGGGCTATGAGGTAGAAAGGATAGCTTAAAGTCCAGTCACCCAGTTCTTGCTGGCCAGTCTTAACTTCAGGTGTACCCTCCCCTCCCTGGGCTTGCAGCCCACCCAGCAAAGGGAAAGCTGGCAGAGCCCAGAGTGTGGAGGACCGCGAGCAGCCAGTGCTGGGAAGCCACTGGACCTCTCAGTTGGAACATAGTGGAGGTGCTCTGTCCTGACCCGCTCTTTTAAGGACAAGGCCTCTTATTCTCCTGCAGGTATTCTTCGCAGCATGGCACAGACAGTTGGAGGAGAGGGGACAGGAGGAGAGGAGACAGGAGGGTGCCAGTGTGTGTCTCTCTCTACATTAAAAATTATCAGGAGTGAAAAGTAGACCTTAGGTTTCAGGTCCTCATCTCTCCATGAAGGCTTTGCCTTTCTCAAAGAAGGAATAATTATCTCCCTTGGACCACATTGTGGGTTTGAAGCAATACAATTTGTTAATATAATCTATATTTTGGTTTTTAATCCTTACCAATGATAAATTTTAAAAGCCATATTGAGGGAGTTAGACACAGCTAAATGACTTCCAGGTTATCTGTCCTTAAAAGGTGGTGAGAAGTGGGCTGGGTGGGGATGTAGCTCAGTGGCACTGTGCCTGCCTCAAAGGCACAAGGTCCTGAGTTTGATCCCTGACACCAGGAAAAAAAAAAATTGAGCAAAAGGTGGTGAGGAGTTAGTGAGTTAGAATTCAGCACGATGAATACATATTACATGTGTGATTTTTTTTTTTTTTAATTTTCTGGTCATGCAGAATTTAGATAATAAGAAATGCAATCACTTATTTCAGAGTCTGTCTGAACACAGGACAGACTTCCTGCGTCCTTGCAACCCCTGGGACTCTGGCTGGAGGCAGGGGTGTGGCCTTGCCTACCTGAGGCCTTCCCTTGGCCCTCTGTCCTCTGAGTGCTGCTGCCACCTGCTGCCCATCTCCACCTCCAGGCAGGCACCACTCCGGCACGCCACAGGCCACTTCTGCCCCCTACTGCCCGCTGAAGAACTTCCAGACTCACCCACACAGGAAGCCAAAGAAAACTGGATGGAATACCATTTTCCTGATGCCCTTTCGTCAGTCTCCTGGCACACTCCTGGATTTCCAAACCTCTTCGAGCTGACTAGAAAACTCCAAGTGGGCCCCCTACCCAAAAAACTGTCTGTAAAATGCAATTGCATTCATTTGATTTTCCCCTTCTCACTAGGAAAACTGCAGCAGAATGGGAATCTTTAAAAGATGCCTGCCTTTGGGCCGGGGATTTAGCCCAGTGGTTCCATCGCCTGCCTCGCAAGCGCAAGGACCCAAGTTCGATCCCAGTACCAAAAAAAAAAAAAAAAAGATGACTGCCTTCAACCCCCTGGAAGATCCTCTTCCACTCACAATGAGGAGTGACAAGCAGGGACAGAATGAGTTATCTGCTCCCCAACCTACCTGCTGCCAGGGGTACTGCGATCTTTCTTCCCCTCTCTTCTCTTCCTCACTCTCTCACTGCCTTGCTCTCCATGTCTCGTTCTCTTCTCCTACCTCTTTCTCTTCTTTCTCACCTCCTGAACTTCATGTGTACCCAAAGTTCTCAAAGCAACTCTTGGGTTCTCCTTTTCCTGACTAAAGAAGTTGTCTATATATCCATCAACAGATGAACAGATAAAGAAAATAGGGGATTTCTACACAGAGGACTACTACTCTGCTATACGAATAAACTTCAGCCATTTGTAGAAAAATGGACACACTCTGAGATCATAAGTTTAAGTGAAATAAATCGAATATACATGCTTAAAGAGTACAAGATTTCTCTGATATGAGAAACCCTAAGAATAAATTGAAGAGCAAAATAAAAGATAGATAATAGGATAAATTTTTATAAATGGAAAGAGCACCAAGAGATGGAGGGAGGGAGAAGGGAGGAAAGGGAGAAGGACAGAAAAAGAATTAAGATGTGTTATGTACATTTATCAACTCCCCACAAGGACTGTAATCATTGACTAAAAAAACAATTTTAAAAGGAGTGTTAGCCTCTTAGTCCGAATGAGACCTGCAAACAAAGGCCGGCTTGTTTCCCAAACCTAAGTCATTGTTTCAGTTGAGCTAGTGGGACAGGAGGTCATCTGCACCGTGTGTGATGCTCTTCTCTCGAGGTGGCTGTGTCTGGCAGCTGGGCCTGCTGGACCTCAGATGCTTTCATCCCTGGCTTTCCCTGAGCACATGTCCAGCTCTGTGCAGCTGGACCTCCCTTCAACATCACACCAGAGTTTAAATGCTGTGAAGACTGAGGACTTCAGAGGAATAGGAAGCCAGACGCCCTGTTCACCCTGGCCAGAGGCCTCAGAATTCCCCCTTTATCTCCATCTGAGCCTTGACCTACAAGAGTGAGCATAGTGACTTGGCCAGTACAAGCTTTGTCTTGATTTACAATGGTCTGGACTCTGCCTCAGGCGAGAAGTACTTGGAGGGGCTTGCTAAAGGTTACCTTGACACCTCCAAAGAGGCTCTCATCTACCTCAGAGTTCATGGCTTTGGTCCGATATCGAGTTCTATTTCGTGATCTATTGGAAGCAGTAGAAGAGGTGCTCAGGATACCTTTTGCGCTTAGGGGCTGCAAGAAGAAGCAGAAAATCATTATCACTACAGAGGTCATCAATATGGAGTGGTACCCAGATCCCAGGCAGCAAACACTTCTTCAGCCCGTGCTGGGGCCAGGCAGGTAGGCATGTGGGAAAGCCACTTCGGGAAAGACCTGTGTAAGCCCTGAAACACAGGGACAAAAAGCAACAAGTGGACAGTATCCCTATAGAAACAGGAGAGTCCCTTGGAGGGGTGAAGCGTATAAACCCTGCAAAAAGAAGCATTTCTGTAGTCCTAGAAGCTGAGGAAGGCCAAGCTGGTCATGCAGTATGGAAGGAAGAATAAAGGAAATGGGAATGGCAGGGGGAGGCACAACACTTCACCTCCCCAGGAATGTATACTGTCCTCCTTGGCACCTCTCAGCCCGAGCTCCAGGACCCCTTCACAAATGACATACTCCTTCAGGTCTTGCAGTCTAACTAACAAAGTCGTAGTGGGGACCAGAGGATAGGAAGGATGTAGAAGCACCTTGCCCACTGTGCAGCATGTAGGTGAGACTTAATAAACTGTAGCCTCTGAATGATTACCAGCTACAATCAGGCACACAATTAATAAGTTCCTAAAATCCACTATGTAGCTCTTTTCCTCACAGCACTCCTTTAGTGTATATTAGTCATTTAACCCCCAGAAACTGTTAATGTTTGGCAAATTCCTCCATCTAATTGTTATAGGTGGTGGGGCTCATCTTCAATAACAGAAGCTGAAAATATCAGGTCTTGCCTTCCCACTTGGGCAAGGGACCCAAACTGAGCCAATATAATCACTGCAACCTGACAGTGACTAGAGAACTAGTGCTACAAGAAGCAGAACAAGGAAAACCTTCGGGTCCTAGCCAGCATCTGCGGCAACAGTGATGCATGAGGTAACCATGCATCTGAAGCTGGCAAGGTTGAGGGACAACCATGCATCAAGGAGCCTGACCAAATCCATTCTTGGCTTTGACTTTGGCCTTGTTTCCAGTGCAGAGCCTCCCTTTGTTCATATGTCCCAAGCCTAGTTGGTGTAAAATCTGTGAGCTTTCAAAAATCCTCTCAATCCATTCCCTTCTATGTGAACTCAAGTCTGGTTCTGTTGTTTATTACCAAGAACCCAAGTAATACTACCTCCATTCCCAAAGGTCAGTCCAACTTCAGCTTAGCCCCAAGGATAAAAAAGTCTATGGCTAGGGAGCAGTTTCTGCAAAGACTTTTGGACAACGCCAGGCTTAATGTAAAGCTGATTCAAACCTCACTTTACAGGAGCTCATGCCACCCCTCCCCAGGTCTGTAAGCTGAGCTACCTTGGGGGAACGGGCTGGGCACATTGGGTCCCTCAGTGCCTGGGAATCAGCAGCCATCAAGCGCACAGGGTAAACAGAAATGGACTGTGCATTCCAGGTCACTAAACACTGGACAGTGTCTTGAAAGCTCTCCGATCTGCCATTACCAACCAGACCTCTGCAGCACCTGTTCCACCTGTATCAGGTTTTCACACTAAATTGGACAATTATTCTCCGGCTGGCTGTGTTCTCAACAATAAGCACTGCTGTGCGTCCCTCTCCCTCGCTGCCCAACATAGCCAGCAAAAGGCTTACAACAGGGAGCCTCCCTTTACATCCTCCGTCAGCCCCAGTACAGCAAAGCAGAAAAGCTTGGATTTATTAAAAGGTAAATATAGCAGCTCTGAGGATGCCTAATAACAGCCTCTGAAGGGTTATTATGTGATGGGTGGTGAGCAACTGCTCCCCATTCCACCAAAAATAGAAAAAGAGGAAATGAACAGAAACTGCAGTAGGTGGCATTGAGGCTAAGCATTGGGAACAACCAGAAAAGGTGGGAGGCTTTGGAGCATGACGGATGGTGTGCATTCTATGTGTAACTAAAAAAAAAAAAAGACTCAGTGCCCAGCACATAGTAGGAACCCAACAGGCATGTGATGAAGAGCAACGAAGGAGACTGAGCAAGATGACCTCTCAAGGACAACAGTCTAGACTGAGGGGACACAGCAGCCCAACTCCAAGTCACTCCACTATTCCACATTTTCCAGCGCATGTATGTGGTCTGCAATGTGGATAATAAGCACGGTAAAGGGCTTTGGAGTACAGATGGAAAGTATTATTACTGTTTTGCATTTATTTCCCTGTTTCTTTTCAAGGGCTCCTACGGGGTTTTCCTTGTGTGCAGGTGTCCGCAACACTGCAGGATCCTGGGGCTGAAGCTGCATCTTCTCTCCCCTGTGCCCTTGGTAGCCACCAGGTCAGGAGGAGTTCACCACAGGAAATAATCGACTGCCCGAGCCTTGAAGTCGGAACAGAGGAAGGAAAACAGATGACCACAGAAAAGTGGCCCAGTGGCAGGACAGAGGGAAGCTCTGAGCTCTAGGGCTGGGTGTCTGAGAAACCTCATTTGGGAACTGCTGACTTTGAAGCCACAAGCCTCACCCTAGGGTTACAATAACCAACTTTGCCAAGAGTAACAAAAAGGATTAGAGAGGTCACCGTGTAAATGTACTGGACAAAAGTGAAGCACCAAGCAGTAATGGAAAGTTGGATCCTTCTGGACCAAAAGCAGTAGCCAAGAGGCTCTTTTATATGGGAGTTTTATTTCTTGCGTGACCAAATAAGTATTGCCAAGAAGCTGAGCACTGGCTAGTGAGAAGCTCACCTAATCTTGCTTGGAGAGAGGTAGCTCCTGAAAGGAAGGCAGCTCTCCCCAGCTCCCAGTAGCTGAGGAGGTGGGGGTTGGGGGAAGATCCAGATTGGGGACAGATAGATGCCAATTTGCTTTGATGTATTCATCGTGGTGACTAAGCCAATCCCACCCCTCCACACATGCACACACCCCACACATAGTACTGATAATTGAATCCAGGGCCTCCTGCACGCTAGGCAAGTGCTTTGCCACTGAGCTATACCCCCAATCCTTGCCTCTCTCTTCATATACTACCTCATTCCAGGAGAACAAGAATCTGACCAGAGTTGGGGACCCTAAGAGAGATTCCACTACAGAAAGACTATCTGGTCAAGTAGATGAAGATAATGACCGAAAGAAAATATATTCTAAATGGGATATGGTTGCATACACCTGTAATCCCAGCATTCTGGGAGGCTGAGCCAGGAGAATCACAAGTGTGAACCTAGCTTGGGCAACTTGGCAACTTAGCAAGACCCTATCTCAAAATAAAAAATAAATAAAGGTTGCAGGGGATTTAGCTGAGTGGTTCCATCACCTGCCTTGCAAGCGCAATGTCCCAAGTTCGATCCCTGGTACCAAAAAAAAAAAAATGAATGAATAAATAAATAAATAAATAAATAAATAAATAAAGGGTTCAGAAGTGTTGCTCATTGCAAAGCCCCGGGGTTCAGTCCCCAGTCATGCAAAAGGAATAAAAGAAAATAAAATAAATTCTAAGAAAGATATAAACATTCCTGTGAAAATGGTTGTGGCATAGAAAGAATCTTCACAAAAACATTTAACAGTACTTTTAGGCAAGCTTTAGCATCTTAAGATGTTTCTCGTATTGAGTAATTTTTTGCCATGGGTAGGTAACTTTTTTTTTTGGTACCGGGTATTGAACTCAGGACCTTGCGCTTGCAAGGCAGGCAGCGGAACCACTGAGCTAAATCTCCAGCCCCCTAAGGGTAGGTAACTTTTTATGACCAGGAAGAATAATAAAAAATATTTTTAGTTGAAAGCAAAGCATAACAGGGGGCCTGCAAGAGAGTATAGCCCATAAAAACAACAGCATCACATATGCCAGGATGTTTAGCTCAAACCCAGCAAGACAAAGCTGGAGCAGGACTGGAATAGATCAGTGTGGAGTTTCCCTGACGTAACTGCAACACCTGTCAACTGAGCAAAAACAAAGGTATGTCCTTTCCTAGGTGCCCTCCCCACCCTCAGATCTAGTTCCTCTTGTACACATAGAATCACAGTAAGCTGGCAAATTCAGGCGTCAAACTCTTGGCCTTGTTCTACTTCCCTTTCTGTGGACTTTAATTACTAAAAAGATGAGGGTAGCCATACACCCGGCCCCTTTCCTTTTTCTCTGAGCGAGAAATTATCCTTTTTTTTTCAAATGGACCAGGCTGCCATCTGCAGGATGCCACCTGAACCTGACATCCTAGTCAGTACTGAAGTTCCTGTCCCTCTTCAGCTATGTCTTTTTTTTTTTTTTTTTCCTACCAGGGATGGAACTCCGGACCTTGCGCTTTCAAGGCAGGTGCCGGAACCACTGAGCTAAATCTCCGGCCCTCAGCTATTCATCCTTTTTATTTTGTAAGAGTCCTGGAAGCCTCCTGAATTGTGAGCCTCATCATCACCTCTTCTTACCCTTTCATGCCCTTAATAGCCAGTGAGTAGCACTAATAGGTACACACACACTCACCCACACACACACACAACCTGCCAGTGATCACTGGGACCCACTGCTTCTCCAAAGTATCCATATGCCCAATTCTGCCCAAGGGACTTCACGAGGACTCAGTCAGCTGTCCAAACCCCTGCTCTGAATGGCCCTAGGGTGAGGAATTCCTGATTTGGGTCTTCTGCAGCCCAAAAGTCTAATCCAATTGGAACTTACTGATTCATGAGGGCTTAGAAATAGAAAACTGTAAACAGGAGAAAAGCTAACATTTACAACATGCCCTTAGATGTCAGGTGTGATACTAGACCCTCACATGCATATGCATCCCACGGTGCTGAAGGAGAGTAGATGCAGAATCAAATACAATGCATAACCAGAAGGGGCCCCTCACTGCTACACTTCAGGGAGTCCTCAAAAGTTGGGACCTGCTCTTTGTTGGAGATGTATTTAACTAAAAAAAGTTCTTTGTAAACCCATTAAGTCCCAGAAAAGCAATGCAGCCTCTGAGCCTTAAAAGTGTCCAAAAGTACACCCAAGAGCCACCTTTGCCACCTGATTTGCCAGACCTTCTCCAGTTAATTCCTATAACCACAGGCTCCACCATCTACCCACCTTCCCACTGCACCCCTCAGGGCCCAATACACTCAGTCCAGGTAACCCCGCAGAACTCTTCCCAGGCCCTGCTGGCCTTTTCTAATTTGATGGCCTTTCCAGTCCCCTACCCAGGGAACTCCAGGCCTGCCAGCCCTGTACCAAGCAGTCTCTCTTCAGGCCCTTGCAAACCTGGGACCCACCTCCTTCATGCATTTATGAACTTATGCTTTCACAATTGTTTGTTGAGTACCCACCCACTAAGCGATCCAAAGCCCTGCAACAGGAGAGAAAACAGGCGCGGGGACATGAGACACATGGTCCCCCTGCAACTTAATACCGGAACGGGTACAATAACCCACGACCCGTCCTCTGCACCAGTGTTCTGCAACACATCCCATCCTGCAATCCCCAGTCCACGGAGGCCCAGACCGAAGAGATGGGAGAGGCTGAGACGCCCGTCCCGGTGTCCGCCTCACTCCACACTGCCGATCCCTGTGGACTCCACACCGCATTCCTCTTTTGAACACCCCTCTGGACGCCCTTTGCTTCTTCTAGGGCTGTGCTCCCCACCTCAGGCCTTCCGGACCGAAGATGCAACTTCTGCCCTCCCTTCAGCCACCACTTCACCCCCTCGGAAATCCGCCCCCGTTCACGACACTGAGCCAAGGTTGCCCGGGGCCTCACCATCTCGACGCCTTGGTCACCCGCACCGCCGCAGGGCCCCGGGTGTTGACGCGTTACCATGGCAGCCATCGCCCGGGTTTCCGGCCCGGCCCCGCCCTCCCCAGGTCTCGCGGGCTGTCTCGGGGGCTGATCCTTCAGGTAAGCGGCCAGCTCTGCAGCCTAACCTGTAGAGGCTCGAGTAGGAACCCCCGCACTGAAATCCTGGACCTGCGCAGACACGCCCTGCTCTTCACTTTGACTTCGGTTGAACTCTTGAGTCAGGACACAAACCTAAAGGGCTAACCTTGAGCCCAGAACGACCTAACAGCCAGCGGCTCCAAGATCCCGGCCCAGCCGGGATCACGGTTTTCCCCAAAGGCCACCCCTACCCCAGATTACTATGGTTACCGATGCCCCTGGACGCAGGAGGAGCCACACCGAATCCCGGAGTATTCAATTGCAAAGAAGCAACGCCTTAGAACAAATTTCACTACTGGAGGGAATCCGGTTAGACCTAAGAAAACTTCCTGGCTTGGGGATGTGTACTCAGTTTCAGAAGTAGTTCTTTAAAGGTGTGCCTAGGACTTCCTGCTCTGAGCTCTGGGAGAGCCAAGATGAAATAATAAAAGATAAATACTAAAAAGATGAAGCAATAAAATAAAAGTAAAGTATGGGCCGGGGATTTAGTTCAGTGGCACCGCGCCTGCCTTGCAAGTGCAAGGTCCTGAGTTTGATCCCCAGTACTGCCAAAAAAAAAAAAAAAAGTAAAGTAAAGACTGTAAGCCGTACCTTAGACCATCTGAAATCGAAATCTGTGGAGCTGGCTTTGGAGAACTTGCCTTTTAACACTTACGAGTTTGTATGTTTTTCAGGAGTTATGATTTTCCTCCCAACCTGCAAGAACAGAAGTGAGCTGGCCTGGAGAGTCTGTTTACTCCTAGCCTCACGAAGGAACCCTCACGCCTCCTCAGGACAGGACATTCTTCTTTGGTGTGGATCCGCTGAGTTCTCCCTGACTCTGTGTCTGCGTCTACCTCCCACTCCCCAACCTTTCTCCAAACTCCATTGACCCCAGGGCCTGGGTAGACATGCTGTCTGACACTGAGCTGTGTTCCTAGCAAAAGCAGTCTCTGAAAGTTACTCCAATTTAAAAACCTGGAGGAGCCAGGGTGTAGTGGTGCACACCTGTAATCCCAGCACTGGGGAGGCTGAGGCAGGATGATTGCCACCAGTTTGAGGCCAGCCTGGGCTACATAGCTAGACCCTATCTCAAAAAACAAGAGAGAAAAAAAAAAACTAGAGAGAGAGAGGGAATTGAGGGCTGTTAACAGTGCGGGGGTGGAGGTGGAGGAAGTGAGACGATCACCAGCTACTGCTTCGGAAGAACTTACTTCAGCAGGCTCCACACTCCTGCCCTAGAATTCCCTGCCCTTGCCTCCTGTCTGTGATGTTGCACTCCCTTCCCTGGAGAGCCCCACAGCAGGAGCGGAGGGAAGGGAGGGAGCAGTCTTTGGGTGGGTTGGGAGTGAGGCCAGAAGCTCTTCATTCCTGGCACTTTCCTCTTCCCCTGGGCTTGGCATCATAACCTCTTCCCTGCAGCCCAGAGCAAAGGGAAGACCTGTAACCACGAAGTGCGGATCAGATGCTTCCCGAAGGTGTTTTACCCAGTTCTCAGGCACATTTCATCAGGTAGTTATCCCCACTGCCAAAGAGGACACTGAAGCCCCTGGGAGAACTGTCCAGACTCAGAGGCTTTCCACAAAGCTCTCAGTGCTTACTTCCAGGCCTCCTGTCTGGTGGGGCCTCTCCAAGGCTCTTGGCAGGGCCCTGAACAATATGAGTTCTTTAGCCGTGTGCTTATATAACTTTGCAAAAGCAAGTTGATGTAAGGAAACATTTATTTTGGATTTAGTGAAACGTGTTTGTGTGGTTTCCATCACTTGCATGTATGGTTAAGTCACTGCCTGCTGTCCTGGTGGAGGAAAGTCTTCCTGGAACATTCCTTTCACCAGTCCACCTCGTCACTTCACTGCATGTCCAGGCAGCAGAGCACTGGTCCTGTTCATCGTGTGATTATGTGCTATGATGCTCACTCCACGAAGGAGCAGAAAACCAAGGTGTGAAATGGGCAAAGTCAGAAGCCAGTCTGTGAAAACAATTCTTCTAACCACCAGTGATGTAAAATTGGGAGGATCCTGTTCTTATGAATGACTAGTCAAAACTGAAGTCCTCTCTGTCCAAGAAGACACCGTAACACAGCATACATAATTATACACCTCATCAGAGAAGAAGCGGCCTCCTGAACACCTCAGCTGGTTGACTACTTCCGTTTTGCCAACACTGCAATATTTGCTTTTTGCATTACAGTCCCAGGTATAATAGCTTAAATACACATGCCTACTTGAGTTTTTCTAAATATAATGAGATGGGCTTTCCATTTGTAAAGTATTCAGATTTTATGTATTAGTTTTCTACTGCTGCCTCAACAAATTTCTACAAATCTAGTAGCTTAAAACAACACCAATTTAGTAGAGATCTAGAGTTTGACACAGGTCTCACTGGGCTAAAATCAAGGAGCGTTCGGTCCTTCTGGAGGCTCTCCTGCTTCTGAAAGTACCATATTCCTTGGTTAATGGCCCCTTCTGTCCCCCGTGAAGGCAGCATCAGTGCCTGTTTCTGACCATCCTGCAGTGTCACATTTCCCTCGGCTGGGAAAGGTTCTCTGACTATCAGGACTCCAGTGATTAAGTTCAGGCCATGTGGAAAATCCAAGATCATCTCCTCATCTCAGGATCCTTAACTTAATCATACCTGCAAAGTCTTTTTCCACAAATTATGGGCATAAGCAGTGAACATTTGAGCACTGGAGAAGTCAGTTGTCATGGTTCAGATGTGATATGTCCCTCAAGCCTCACGTGTTGAGCTCTTGATCCCTAAGACAGAAGTTCAGAGCTGATGGGCATTGGGGAAGTAATTAGATCTTGAGAGCTCCAACTTTATCTGTGGATGATCCACTGATGAGATCATAATTTGATGGCATTATGGAAGGGTGATGGAAACAGGCAATGTGCCCCAGTAGAAGGGAGTAAATAATGAGGATGTGACCCTGGAAACTATCTGGTTCCTGGTCCCTTCCTCTCTGTGACTCTTTCTCTCTCTGCTTCCTGGCTGCCATGAAGTGAGCAGTTTTGCTCTACTATGCCCTACTGCCATGATGCTCTGCACTGTCATAGGCCTAAAATAAAAGAGCCCGCTGATCATGAACTGAAAGCCTGAGCCAAAATAAATCTTTGCTCCCTTTAAGTTGTTTTCTCAGGTATTTTGTCACAGTGATGAAAAGCTGATTAATACATATCCCCACCACACTGTTCAACATAACTAGGACGTGTTGGGCCAGGGATTTAGCTCAGTGGTTTCGCCACCTGCTGCGCAAGTGCAAGGACCTGAGTTCAATCCCCAATACAAAAAAGTAAAAAACAACAAAACAAGGACATGTTAAAGGTTCTGTAATATATTTTTAAATACTTGAAAGAGAAATCAAACAAAATGCAAACAAATTCCTCAAAAAGTTAACACAATTTGAATATGCCATTCTAAACTACATTTGGGAATGTCTCTTAAAATTTCAAGAATACAAGTGAAGTTTAACAGATTTCTAACTCAGACATATCAACAGTATATTTTCTTCCTTTGTCACCTTTAAATTTATGCATTTAAAAAATTGACTTAAAATCAATGGTTTCCCTATGATGAGTGTTATCATTATGTCTGCCTGAAATGTACCAATAAATGTTGTGCTATAAATTAATAAATGAATGGTTCATGAAACAAAACTGATAAAGATAAGTTATGAAATCAGTAGAAATGATTTTGAAATTGAGAAGTAAATTATAACACAATTTTCAGATTATACCTAAAAAGGTAATTCAATAAGAAAAACAGACAGATTTTGAATAGAATCAGTGGGCATTTAGATTGTTTGGTAATTCAGTTAACAAGGAAAAGAAAATCACATGAACACATTGGGAGAATATTCAATTTTTTGTGGATTTAACATGAAACCTCAAAATTGATGGAGAGTACATGAAACATATTAGTCCACTAAAATGAGGACTTATGACAAACTGATTAATGAATGGCATCGATTCAAACAATATTAAAGATTAATTACTCAACAATGCTGTAAAACCCTACAACTCATATAAAAAGGAAATTTAGTGCAGGTTTTCACAAATTTGACAACAGTCATAAAAATTGACATGATTGTGCCCACAACACACTGTGAAATGAAACATTCCAATCTGTCAATAATAATAAAAATGTTGCTCAATCCACATCAGAAGAAAAACTAAATTATCTTTGTTCTCTCTCTATTAAAAATGTCATAAAAGTCACTGTCATATGAAGAGACAAAAAAACACGCAACCAGAAAGGCAGGGCTAAACAAACAAGACAAGGGCTGGGGATTTAGCTCAGTGGTTTCACTGCCTGCTGCACAAGTGTAAGGACCTGAGTTCGATCTCCGGTACCACAAAAAAAAAAAAAGAAGAACAAACAAACAAGAAAAAAACACTTTTACTGTTTTGGTTACATGTATAAAAATCTTATGCTACTCTTCTAGATTTTAGGATGTTTATTGTGTTTGCCAGACTTTTTAAAGTGTATAATTTGTTGTGAGTTCTTTTTTATTCTAAATTTTTAGTCCCATAGTTAATTTTGTATTATAGTTTTGGACTGCTTTTCCCAAATGGAGCTTCCAAACTGGATAAGTTTCAGGCCTGACCAAAGCAAGTTCCAGGACTGATAAGTAGGGAGGCAGCTTTTCCCTTCTCAGCAAAACTTGGCTCAAAAGCACAGCCACATCCGGCCAGGCCGGGGAAAATGCCCTGTTCTCACCTCCCACCCTTCCAGAGCCAAGCTCTGCCCACTCTTCCCTGGCCACTGTTGTCCGTAGTTTCTTCCTCTCATTTCTGCTAGGGCATCATCGGAGTCCTTTGCCTTCTGCCTGGATCCTCAAACTATCTTTTCCCTCTCCTCCTGGGCTCTGTCCCACTTCATTCCATCCTCACTGCCCAACAAGCTAAGGGATGAGAACAATGGAGAAGGGCAGGAAGCTAAAGATGTCGGAAGAGGGCAGGTCCAGATTCCAGCCCCACCTCCAGCTGCCTGCCCTTCCCACCCTGGCACAGCACCAAGACAAGTCTCAGAAGGAAGCCTGGATTGCCCACCAGGGGCAGGAGGCAGCAGAGGAACTGGGCGCGGAGGAGCTGGAGCACAGCCCAGCAGTCTTGGGCTGGACTTGGCCGTGACACTGGCCCCTCGTCCTCACTGGGCCTTGGAGCCTTTGTGGGTCAGCCACCTCCCTCCCCCTGACATGCTCCCCATGCTGGCTGAGGTGGGAGACCAGGAAGTTTGACTCTATGATGTGTCAGCACATTTAAGGAGGAGGAGCCTGGGAGACAAGTTCGGCAGAGCCCATCGGGTAGAAGGAAGTATCTGTCTCCTCACTTAAGCTTGTCTCCCAGCTAAGAGCACTGATGGAGGAGACTGCTTCCCAGCTTTCCCTCCTCTTCCCCCCAATCCAGGAAAGTGAGTTTAGGAACTTGTGCTTCCAAACACTTCAGCAAAGATACTGAAGCTGGGTGAGGAATAAGAGGACAGGGGGCTGGGGATTTAGCTCAGTGTTTCTGCTGCCTGCCTTGCAAGCACAAGGTCCCGAGTTCGATCCCCGGTACCAAAAATAAATGAATACAATTAAATTTTTTTTTAAAATCCCGAGTTCGATCCCCGGCACCAAAAAAAAAACACAAAAAAAACCAAAGAGGACCGGAAGTAGAATAAGAGTAGCTGGGCCATGGGTTTTGAAGGGGCTAGTGTTTCCACATTCCTGGGAGGAGGATGTGTCCCACGCCTGGGGCTAAAATACTGTTTTCCCTTTCAGGTTTTCTCTGAACTCTCCCACCGAGTCCTGAGAGTTCCCCAGGATGGAGACCCTCTCCTGCCCTTGGGCTTCCCTCCGTTTCCCTTCCCTTTAAGGGCTACCCCTTTGGTCCACAGTGAAGTAGTTTCCTCTAGGCGCGATCCCACCTGGGACCCCTGGAAAGCAGTTCACTCTGCTGTTTCCTGGGAAAGTGGCGAGTGATTTGGGAGCCAGCCTAGCAAGGTCTGAAACCTGGCCTGGGCCTGGTTTCCTCACCTACAGGATGGGGTAATATTAAAGCCAGGCTCAAAAATCAGCTTGCGCAGGGTCCCATTCCTTCCTTCTTCCTTTCCCCCAGCTATTGTAGACAGCTAAGCTAGTTAGCAAAGACGAGGCAGCTAGTCAAGGCTGCACCCTCAGCACAGAAGACCACTGTAGCCTGAGGCTCATTCCCTAAAGGCCAGGCTTCAAAAGAAGAACAACTACACCCCGTACTTCCCCCAGGGATATTCTAAATATCAGTCACCTCGGGTGGGGACCAAAACCTTACCAGGCCATTCTTTCCGGGAAATCCTTGTTCAGTCCATTTATGCTTGCTGCTCAATTAGCTTCCCCATTTGACCCCCGTTTAATCAATATTACCTAAGCGACTATACTCGTAATCTTACCAGTTGACTGTAGTTTTGTCCCACCTTGTACCTGCCTCACTTCGAGGCTTTGCTCAATAAAACACCTTTGAGAAGGAGGTGGGCGAGCAACCCACTTTCCAGGTCCCCCTCTGTCTCTCTTAGACAGAAGCTATCTTTCTCTCAAGAAATTCTTCCCACTTGTAACTTCCGTTGTTTCTATAATTCATTCTTTGATTATTAGAGAACACGAACTCGGGCGTGTCAGATATCTAGCAGGTTGGGAGTTATAACAGTTCCCTTACATTATTTGGAGGTCCTGTGTCATATACCCTGTATCACAACCGTGGGAGGTTTTTAGTTTGGGGGCTGGTGGTTTTTATCCTTGGTGTAGCATAGCATAGACAGCACTGGGAATCACATCTGAAACTCTTAAGCTGCAGAGATGCTTGGGAAGCTGTTTCACTGTTTCCTTGTTTCCAGGTCACCTGAGCTTTCCAAACGGCCCTAAATTCTTTCTAAATCAAAGTAGGGCTCAAAACATAAACAAATACTTGCATGTACAAATTATTGTACTCTATTTACTGCCCTCTGTCTTCAAAACTCCTTTCACTTTCCTGTTCTTAAAGACTTTCCTTCCTGCTCCAGGCTGAGACACCCAGCTGAGAGTCTGAAATGCAGGAAGACATTTAGAACCGAGGACAAAGAGTAGGTGTAGATGTAAGCCCCGGACTAGGAGTAGAAGGGGTGCTTCTGGGAGGTGCTTGCAACTGGAGGCCCTGGATATAGAGAAGAGTGGGAAGAGAGAGGAGGAAGAGAAGAGGGCACAGGCCAGAGGGCCAGTGATGTTTCGGGCCAGGAAGGAGAAGCTGAAACACCACAGTAAAGACAGAGACAGCCCAAACTGGTCTCCAGCACCCTTCCCCACTTCCCCTCTTAGCAGATTCCTCCCAGGCCGGCCGCAGGAAAGACAGTAGGGAATCTGCAGCCTCCTTGCCTGTCTCCACCCTCCTACCCACCCAGGTCCAGGGGCCAGCCCTACCCTGGTGTCCTTGACATGCCTCCACGGGCCTGGCACAGCTGTCCCTCCTACGTGACCAACACAGCCCCTGGCCTCGGTGCCGGATGCAGCGATAAAGCCAAGGAGGGGAAAACCACCAAAGCCAGGAAGTTACACAGCCTGGTTCCCCTAGCAACCCCACCACAAACAATGCAGAGGGATGGGGGGTAGGAACAACTCCCGTTCCTGCTCACTCAGGCCAGGGCCCTCCTAGACCTCAATTTTCTTGTTGGAGAAACTTCTCTCCAATCTCCTAGGACGGTATTGCCTAAGGATGGATGGGAGATGTTTGTTTGAAATGAAAATTCAAGATACCACATCCTCCAGCTCCAGCTCCATCCCAGGTTCTCTCTGTAGGTCCAGTAGGTCTAACCAGAACCTGCATTTTAACCAGCATCCCAGGTGACTGTGATCCTGGCAGTCTCAGGACTTTGCTTTATTTGGAGATAGAGTCTCATTTTACAGTCCTTGAACTCACTCATGGTGATCCTACTGCCCCTACTGCCTCAGCCTCCCGAGTGCTGGGATTACAGGCGTGCACCACCATGCCTGGCTGGACTTTGCTGTGAGAAGAGAATGTACTTCAAGAAGTTGGGATTCCTTGTGGCAGGGTTAGAAGATACAGCATAAGCTCCAACGTAACCCCAGCATCCTGTGTCCCCTGGGATCTAGAGCCAATCCCGTTTCCAGGGGTGCTTGACTTCCAACATTTTCAACAACAAGTGGGTGGCCAGGAGTCCAGAGATCTCGAATCTAGGACATGCAGAACCAATTCAAAACCATGAACTTTGAGCTCTGGGACTGTCTGTACTGAGAACTGGGAGCCACAGGAAGACACATAAGCATGCTTTCTGCTTTCAAGAACCCTGGGGCGAAGGAAAAATCACTTACAGTCTTGCTTGGTTTTTCTCTTCTTGCTGAAAGGTATGAAAACATTAAAGCCTTACCAGGAGGTGACAAGCCTCCCAGGGATTAATAGATACGAAAGTGCCTTGAAAGTGCACCTCTTGGGTATTGTACTGGTGGTGGCAGTAACTTTTGTTGCAGGAGGTAAAAGTGGGGCTGTTTGAGGGAGGTCTGAGAAGGTCAGGGAGCCCTGAGAACAGAAACTCCAAGCAGCAGGATCCAGGGGCTGAGCCTCAGGCACTCTCCTTAGTTCTCCACTGGACTGGAGAGGTGGCCACTGCAAGAGCTGAACTTCCTGCACCTCCTGCCAAGCCTGACCTCTCCCTTCCTCTCTCATGCCCGTGGCGTGCAGGGACAGGAAAACTGCAGCTCAAGCCATCTGCAGGCTGAACCCTTCCCTGGGGTTGGCCATCTCACAGGGGAACCCCGGGACAGGACGAGCAACAGTTTGGTCTTCTGTTGCTTAAATTTCAATCTCAGTTCACCCCTAGGTGGGTCCAGCAAGTTATTTTTACTGTTAGCCTCAGTGTCCTCATCCGTAAAATGAGAGACATGAATATTTTGTGGCCGTATCTGCTCCTTCTCCTGGGTCTCCGAACCTAAGTACAGGTAGCACCCTTTGGTCCACTGCAGAAGCCAGAGCTGTCTGTCTTGACCCCTCTCTCTCTTACCTTCGTGCTCTGTACTCAGAGAACACTCAGTAACTTTGAACTTTACCCTTTCTTTCCATCCCCACTGTCCTGCGCTGCAAACCTCTGCAGTCTGCTTGTCACAGACTTCCCTGGTCTTCAGCCACCCCCCCACCCTGAAGCCTTACAAAACTTTCAAAATAAAACACAACTCCCACCTCTTCATTCCCCTGCTCAAAATTCCTCAATGGCTTCTCTTCCCCTCAGTGAAATATCCAAAACTGTTCATTTGACTTTGAACTCCTTTGATGATCCGGATTGATTCTCTCAGCACCACACCCCTCGTGCCTCTGAACACGGGTCTACAGTCCAGTTCCACATGTGGCCACCTCCAGCCCATGAACAGGCCACTCCCCTGAGGAGGACACTCACCAACACCGATGTCCCCTTTGTGCTTCCCCTTCGTCATCCTCTGGACACCTTCATTGTCCATGGCCCTTCTTCTGGGTGCTACTGGCACCTACCCCCCTTAACATGCCACACACTATGTTGGATTGGAATTAACTCCTTCCTTTTCTCGCACCTCCCAGGAAACCAAAGACTATGTTTGTCACGTTAACAGCCAGATCCCCAGGACCCAGCAGATGCCTCATCCAGAGAAGAAAGAGTTTTTGAAATAAAAAAAGGGCAAATCCAAATTACAGCTAAAACTCCTAGAACTAATACTAGCTCATTATCATCACCATGCTTCAGTCCCACACTGAACCGTTTTCTTGCTCTGATAGAAAACCAGTTCCAATTTCAGGTCCTGAAACAGTGGGGTGAAGTGTTGTGACACCCTCTGTGTCTGAGAGGGGATTTGTAGGACCCCTCCCCACCCACCTCAAACCTCAGTCACGTTGATCTGTTCATCCTTTCTTATCCCTGGTTCTCACCCTGACTCAGCTCTTTTGACCACACCTATCCCAGGTAGAAAAGGAATAGCCCCTTGCTCCCCTGACTGAAATTTGATCTCTGACCACAGAGCCAGTGACTGTACCTTTCCCAGAGAAGTTCCCTAACAGGCTCTTCTGCTCCCCTGGGCATAGCCAGGGAGATGGTCCCTGAGATAGCTATTAGCTCCCCATGACATTCAGGAATTCAGCCAGGGCATTCAAGAGCTCCTCCCAGAGCCCGTGTGCGTTTCTCCAAAGGCACACACCACGGATCCTTGAGTCACCACGGCTCCTATCCATGTTTTATCTCCCTATAGGACCACACAGCATCAGTAACCTCTACTCTCACAGGGCCTGACATCAAAGAGAACCTCAGTGATTGTTGAATGAATGGATGAATGAAAAAACAAGGGTGCACCTGAGCATTCCCAGCCAGCCCTGTCTGTTTTCCTCCACTAGGAGATGAGCTTTGTCCTATTTATTGAAGACATTCTTCCTGACCCTTCAGAGATTCCAGAGGCTAATAACCTTCAGAGTCAAGAGGAGCATTTTTCCTTGTCTAACTTAAATTTCTCTGGATGCAACTTCAGGGCATTTTCTTCTAATCTACCTCCCTGGGCCACTGGAATTAAAACCCACCTCTCTTCAAGGAGACAGTTACTAATTTACTCTTTTAGCCTTTTCTTCAACAAATTTAATCCCAGGCCCTTCACTGTTCTCTCCCTGGGGTTCTATTGTCCAACTCTTTCCCTGTTCCACTGTTCTTGGGCCTTTTGCCAAGTTCTCAAAGGCTTCCTTCAGCTGCACAGGCAGGAATGGGACATATTGTTCTCCACACACAAATGCCTACGCACGCCAGACCAGCACCTCTGTGTACCTATTATCCTCAGTCCTGGGTAAACACACTCCTGGCAGCCTCCTCACACAGTCACAGGTTCATCCTCTTCCACCTGCACCCCCCGAGCCCTAATCCGGTGAATTCTCACACACCTGGTCGCACACCTACATGCATATGAATGGTCTGCACAGACCTATGCTTCTTACCCACAGGTGAGCCAAAGGGGCAGAACACCAGAGCCCTCTTCTTCCTTCTTTTCCCTGCCTCCTTCCACAACTCTCCTCTCCATTGGCCACTGTGGGCCAAACCTACTCTGCCTCCACTTCATAGTGATTTTCCACTTCAAGACTGAGAGCAAATAAATGAACGAAATTGGCTCCTACCTCTTCCTCCTGCCCTCTTCTCATTTTTTCCTCCTAAATCCTCACTGTATCTTCCATTGCCCAGAGCACGCACACACTGCCTCCCATTGCCTTCCTAACCTCCACTCTTCTAGTTGTAGCAACTGAGATTTCTTGGGTTTTTACCTTTTGGGAATGAGCAGTGGGGAGGCATGGGGATGGTCAGATGAGCTGGGTTCCATGTCAGATCCCATGGCAGACTCAGCTGTTGAGACTGGGCTGGAGGGGCCTTCTGTTATCAAGCCAGGGAACTCGGAAGCAAGAGAGTGGTATGAACACTCCTCCATTCAACACAGAATTCTCCAGCACCTCCACCATGCCAACCACTACTCTACATGAACAAAACCAACAAAGGCCTGCCCCTGTGCAGTGTACATTCTCTGGGTGGGGACAGGTATAAGTAGAACGTACAAGGTGTCAGGTGGTGATAAGTGAAAACAGGGGAGGGGAATGGGGTGCTAGCTGAGGGTGGAGTGTGCAATTTTAAATAAGGTGTCAGGAAAGGTGATAAAGCAGTGAGCCATGGTGAGAACTGGAAGGAGATTTTTCCAGAACAGCCCTGCAAAAGGAGTGTCATGAAACACCAGTGGAAATGGCCAAAAAGAAAAGGGTGCTAGAAGATGACCAGAAGAGGGGATGCCATCCAGAGGAGCTCTTCCTCCCTACCAATAGCAAGACTTCTGGAGAGATGAGAGGGGCCAAATCCGGGGTGAAGCTGTGACCTCAGATGGGACAAAATGTTAAAAGCAAGAAAAACAAAACTATAAACAAATCAGAAAACGAAACTTGAAGATGCCAGTGGAGGCCAGGAAGGAGCTGAACACACACTGCAATGGACTGATGGGTGCAGCCAGGAGGGACATGAGTGCCTCTCAAAGCCTGTTGGTGATTGCCGTGGAAATGTTATCCTAGGAGTAGACAGAGCTAGCTGAAGCTTCCTGGAGCACGTTCAGCAGGGCATTATCTGCACAAACCTTTCTGGTCAACTTTTGTGTGCTGGCATTCACTATGCAAAGTCCTGTCCACATGGGCGTGATGGAATCTTCACAGCAGCCTTATGAGGGAGTATTCTCGTAGTCGGAGATGAGGAGCATCACCTCACCTTACCACAACCTCTGGTACCCCAGTCCCTCATTTCTGGTCCCCCCACAGCCCCATTTCTGACTGAGCCGGCGACAGTACAGGCTTGGTTGGAGGCTCAGCCATGTGGACCTGGGCTCCAATCCCTGCTCCCCCAGTTTACTGGTATGTGGCCCCTTCTGAGCCACCTCTGGGGATGAGGGTGATAATGTAGTAGTATCCACCTCATGGACTTCTGTGAGAAGCTGGAAGAAAGCAGTGTTGGCACATGTCTCAGAGAGCTGCGAAGTGCGTGGCCAGTAATTTGTTCCTGTAAATAGTTAAATTGGGGAAGGTTGTAAGTTGGTTTGCTTTTCAGTATAAATATCAGTGAATGCAATGTTTTATCTGCAATGACATCACTCTCTGGCATTCCACAGAGCCTTCCTGAGTGGGAGATAAAGGGGTGGAATGACAGTTAATCCCCTGGGAACTTGCATGCAGACTGTAGCCTATCTTATCTGTGCAGCAAGCAAGCAAATACAACCTCTCCCAGTGTGGTATCAGGACAAGTCTGGGAGCCATGCAGCTGGCGGCTCTACATCAGTGGCATGGGGCCTGGCACATAGTAGGTGTTTCTAGGAAGAGACAGTGGAGCAGAGGAGTCTCTTGGGGAGGAAAATGAAAGCCCTGCTTACAAACCTGAGTAAATTTGTCACCCTTGGGGTCCAAGTTGTGGTTTTTTCCTAAGGAGACAGAGATACTCCAAACAGAAAGGGACAGAGGGACCTTGGAGGCCAGGCCCCTGCAGCTGGCTAATGGAGGTGGGGCCAAATGACACAGGAAGTGACACGAGTCCTTTAAATTCTCCCTGAGAAGACAATTGGGCTGATCTAGAAGGCCTGGGGTGAGAGCGATCCCTAAGGGATGAGACATTCATGCTTGCTTCATGCTGGGGGCTGGAGACAACTTGACCCAAAATTGACTA